AATAGAGTGGTAGTACAATACTCAATGGCAGTACACAATAGAGTGGCAGTACACAATAGAGTTGCAGTACACAATAGAGTGGTAGTACACAATAGAGTGGCAGTACACAGTAGAGTGGTAGTACACAATAGAGTGGCAGTACACAATAGAGTGGTAGTACACAATAGAGTGGTAGTATACAATAGAGTGGTAGTACACAATAGAGTGGTAGTACACAATAGAGTGGTAGTATACAATAGGGTGGTAGTACACAATAGAGTGGTAGTACACAATAGAGTGGCAGTACACAATAGAGTGGTAGTACACAATAGAGTGGTAGTACACAATAGAGTGGTAGTACACAATAGAGTGGTAGTACACAATAGAGTGGTAGTATACAATAGAGTGGTAGTACACAATAGAGTGGTAGTACACAATAGAGTGGTAGTACACAATAGAGTGGTAGTACACAATAGAGTGGTAGTACACAATAGAGTGGTAGTATACAATAGAGTGGTAGTACAATACTCAATGGCAGTACACAATAGAGTGGCAGTACACCATAGAGTGGTAGTACACAATAGAGTGGTAGTACAATACTCAATGGCAGTACACAATAGAGTGGTAGTACAATATTCAATGGCAGTACACAATAGAGTGGTAGTACAATACTCAATGGCAGTACACAATAGAGTGGCAGTACACAATAGAGTGGCAGTACACAATAGAGTGGTAGTACACAATAGAGTGGCAGTACACAATAGAGTGGTAGTACACAATAGAGTGGCAGTACACAATAGAGTGGTAGTACACAATAGAGTGGTAGTATACAATAGAGTGGTAGTACACAATAGAGTGGTAGTACACAATAGAGTGGTAGTATACAATAGGGTGGTAGTACACAATAGAGTGGTAGTACACAATAGAGTGGCAGTACACAATAGAGTGGTAGTACACAATAGAGTGGTAGTACACAATAGAGTGGTAGTACACAATAGAGTGGTAGTACACAATAGAGTGGTAGTATACAATAGAGTGGTAGTACAATACTCAATGGCAGTACACAATAGAGTGGCAGTACACAATAGAGTGGCAGTACACAATAGAGTGGTAGTACAATACTCAATGGCAGTACACAATAGAGTGGTAGTACAATATTCAATGGCAGTACACAATAGAGTGGTAGTACAATACTCAATGGCAGTACACAATAGAGTGGCAGTACACAATAGAGTGGCAGTACACAATAGAGTGGTAGTACACAATAGAGTGGCAGTACACAATAGAGTGGTAGTACACAATAGAGTGGCAGTACACAATAGAGTGGTAGTACACAATAGAGTGGTAGTATACAATAGAGTGGTAGTACACAATAGAGTGGTAGTACACAATAGAGTGGTAGTATACAATAGGGTGGTAGTACACAATAGAGTGGTAGTACACAATAGAGTGGCAGTACACAATAGAGTGGTAGTACACAATAGAGTGGTAGTACACAATAGAGTGGTAGTACACGATAGAGTGGTAGTATACAATAGAGTGGTAGTACAATACTCAATGGCAGTACACAATAGAGTGGCAGTACACAATAGAGTGGCAGTACACAATAGAGTGGTAGTACAATACTCAATGGCAGTACACAATAGAGTGGTAGTACAATATTCAATGGCAGTACACAATAGAGTGGTAGTACAATACTCAATGGCAGTACACAATAGAGTGGCAGTACACAATAGAGTGGCAGTACACAATAGAGTGGTAGTACACAATAGAGTGGCAGTACACAATAGAGTGGTAGTACACAATAGAGTGGCAGTACACAATAGAGTGGTAGTACACAATAGAGTGGTAGTATACAATAGAGTGGTAGTACACAATAGAGTGGTAGTACACAATAGAGTGGTAGTATACAATAGGGTGGTAGTACACAATAGAGTGGTAGTACACAATAGAGTGGCAGTACACAATAGAGTGGTAGTACACAATAGAGTGGTAGTACACAATAGAGTGGTAGTACACAATAGAGTGGTAGTACACAATAGAGTGGTAGTATACAATAGGGTGGTAGTACACAATAGAGTGGTAGTACACAATAGAGTGGTAGTACACAATAGAGTGGTAGTACACAATAGGGTGGTAGTACACAATAGAGTGGTAGTACACAATAGAGTGGTAGTACACAATAGAGTGGTAGTACACAATAGAGTGGTAGTACACAATAGAGTGGTAGTACACAATAGAGTGGTAGTACACAATAGAGTGGTAGTATACAATAGAGTGGTAGTACACAATAGAGTGGTAGTACACTATAGAGTGGTAGTACACAATAGAGTGGTGGCACACAATAGAGTGGTAGTACACAATAGAGTGGTAGTACACTATAGAGTGGTAGTACACAATAGAGTGGTAGTATACAATAGAGTGGTAGTACACAATAGAGTGGTAGTACACAATAGAGTGGTAGTACACAATAGAGTGGTAGTACACAATAGAGTGGTAGTACACAATAGAGTGGTAGTACACAATAGAGTGGTAGTACACAATAGAGTGGTAGTACACAATAGAGTGGTAGTACACAATAGAGTGGTGGTACACAATAGAGTGGTAGTACACAGTAGAGTGGTAGTACACAGTAGAGTGGTAGTACACAATAGAGTGGTAGTACACAATAGAGTGGCAGTTCACAATAGAGTGGCAGTTCACAATAGAGTGGTAGTACACAATAGAGTGGTAGTACACAATAGAGTGGCAGTACACAATAGAGTGGTAGTACACAATAGAGTGGTAGTACACAATAGAGTGGTAGTACACTATAGAGTGGTAGTACACAATAGAGTGGTAGTATACAATAGAGTGGTAGTACACAATAGAGTGGTAGTACACAATAGAGTGGTAGTACACAATAGAGTGGTAGTACACAATAGAGTGGTAGTACACAATAGAGTGGTAGTACACAATAGAGTGGCAGTACACAATAGAGTGGTAGTACACAATAGAGTGGTAGTATACAATAGAGTGGTAGTACACAATAGAGTGGTAGTACACAATAGAGTGGTAGTATACAATAGGGTGGTAGTATACAATAGAGTGGTAGTACACAATAGAGTGGTAGTACACAATAGAGTGGTAGTACACAATAGAGTGGCAGTACACAATAGAGTGGTAGTACACAATAGAGTGGTAGTACACAATAGAGTGGTAGTACACAGTAGAGTGGTAGTACACAGTAGAGTGGTAGTACACAATAGAGTGGTGGTACACAATAGAGTGGCAGTTCACAATAGAGTGGCAGTTCACAATAGAGTGGTAGTACACAATAGAGTGGTAGTACACAATAGAGTGGCAGTACACAATAGAGTGGTAGTACACAATAGAGTGGTAGTACACAATAGAGTGGTAGTACACTATAGAGTGGTAGTACACAATAGAGTGGTAGTATACAATAGAGTGGTAGTACACAATAGAGTGGTAGTACACAATAGAGTGGTAGTACACAATAGAGTGGTAGTACACAATAGAGTGGTAGTACACAATAGAGTGGTAGTACACAATAGAGTGGTAGTACACAATAGAGTGGCAGTACACAATAGAGTGGTAGTACACAATAGAGTGGTAGTACACAATAGAGTGGTAGTACACAATAGAGTGGTAGTACACAATAGAGTGGTAGTACACAATAGGGTGGTAGTACAATACTCAATGGCAGTACACAATAGAGTGGTAGTACAATATTCAATGGCAAGACATAATATAATGGCAGTGGTCAGTTTCAAATACAAAAAAAAACAGTGGTGATAAAGTAAGTGATAATAATATGTTCACCCCCGCGGCGAAGGTTGTCAAGCTTTCGAGATGGCTCCAGGCAGGGAATCCGGGGTGATCTTCACACGAAAGCTGGTCTTGGTTTAACGAAATGTGTGAGAGATACGAGAGGAACGCTCTTGTCCCTTTATATACTGTCTAACAAGCTACTAGAAATTTCCACACAGTGCCATCACATATGTTTCTATAACGCTCTATCACAGTCTATCACGGTATTCCGGAAGTTTACACATCACACACGCATCTTAATATAGTAACTTCCTCAAAACTGATTATATCAAAAAGTACTACATTCCTGACAACTAGTCACTGTCCAAATACAACGCAATGAACCTCTACCGGATCTCAACAGTTACAAAGTAATTCAGTTACAATAATTGTTTAACAATAAAATACATTGCCATATCATACTACGTGCATTTTGTAATGGGAGAGTGTTGTTTTACTTCATACCTGAGGCACATACATGTAGTCTGTTTTAACCATTATGATGATTGTTATTGGAACATATATTGGTTGCCACACTCGGATTTGTCGGTGAACGTCCTAAACTGCAAGGGAAACACTGTCAGGACGAGCTCTTCCCAAATATCCAGAAGTTTGTCATGGCATATGACTGTTTTTCTTGATGAATTTCAGTCATAAATGTCATATTGTATTCACACATTTGACAAACTAAAATGAGTTTTTCTCAAAATATGATCACGACCATGGTTACAAGACTGACGTCATATCTGCCCCACAATTATTCGAGTGAGTGAGTGGGTTAGTAATGTTTAAAGCCGCTTTTAGCAATATTCCAACAATATCACGGCGGGGGACACCAGGAATGGGCTTCACACATTGTACCCATGTGGGGAATCGCGACGAGCGAACGCTTTAACCACTAGACTACCCAAAAGGCCCTAGAACCATTCGAATACACGTAGATGAATACGGAATTTTCTTTTAATTAACATTTACGAAAAACATGTTCGGTTCCACAAAAGTGAAAAGGCACGTCATGTTTATCAGGTTCTTGGACAGAGAAACATAAGATTGTTCATACTTTGAACAACATGCAGTAAGTAAGTCGACAGGCTATTGACCTCGTACAATTTCAAATAAAAGGATGGTATGACAAGGTCTGTTTGTTGTGTAACTGAACCAATAATGGTCTTCACATGTGACTCACCGCGAGGTAAGGTATATACACACATGTTCCATGTTCCTGTCTTCAACACTCACCTGTAGAATCTCGGCAAGATGACAAGCCTCGGCCTCGTCCTATTGGCGTTATTGCCATTAGCTGGCAATGCAATTAGTCCGCATTTACAGTCGAGGTTCAAACGAGGTGAGTAACGAGTTAAGCTCGAGTAACGCTACGCTGCCGATATTTGTCAGAAATATAATTTTGAAATGGGGTTTAATTACGTTTGCATGATTTTATTCATCATTTGTAAATATCAGCCCATGATATGTAAGCCATATCTTATTACCAAAGCTGGGCGTTGGGTTAGCCTGGTGATAAAAGCGTTCGCTCGTCACGCCGAAGCGCTGGGTTCGATTTCCCACATGGGTACAATATGTGAAGCCCATTTCTGATTAACCAACCAAATCTAGAAATAAAGGTGACCAGTAGGACCGCCTCATGCACCTGTTTCATATTCAGATCTATGCATAAAGATGCATAGTGACAAAACACTTTCCACAAGACTGTATTCGAGAGGGATGTTTTCAACCTTCAACTTCAACTTTCCCTCTTTGTCAAGCAGTATTCTTGCCGCTCCAGCCTTTGGTGTCTACATTTCACAACTACCGAGGTACACTCAGACATGCTCTTTCTACCAAGATTTCAAAAAGTGTCATACGATTGTTGCTCAAACGTTGTTTCTGGTAGACATGTGGAGGACATTCCAAACCTGACGCATCAATGACAAAAACAATGTCCGATGTAATTCCTTATTTTGACTTGTACCATATGTTCTCGTGTTTTGTGCAGGTAGAATATTGACTTACCTTTGCATGTGTTTGTGACGGGTGTCACCGATTTGGCATCATACGCTTACATTGTCGCGAACACCTGGTATCATTACTATTTGGTAGTGATTCATTAACACATGCTCGTGATATAGTCGGAATCGTACAATGGACTCTGATTTCAGATATTTCTTATGAATATAGAAAGGGTTTTGTCGATTTTATTTATTGATATTTCTGAAATATTGCCAAAAGGGGCATGAACCCATACTCATTCGCTCACTCACTCTAAACTGCATATGCCTTCTTTGTTATACATGTAGGACTCAGATCTATGGCGGGACTCTAACCCGGAGCGGATTCTCATTGTTACATGACGTCATGTTTGCAGTGATGTCATATCCGTGTTTCAGTTCAGTTGTTATATGACGTAATTCTTGAGATGAATCCTTGCCTATGATGACGCCATGTAAATTTACCGTATATTACCGATAGACACAGCGATCAGTCTAAAACGATAGAGCCGGACACCGTAAATAAAGATCTTCTTTTGACGGATTAATGCCGGCAGCGAACGCAACCAGTATCGACATACACACACACACACACACACACACATGAATGCAAACACACACACATGAATGCAAACACACACACATGAATGCAAACACACACACATGAATGCAAACACACACACACATGAATGCAAACACACACACACACACATGAATGCAAACACACACACACACACATACATACACACACAAACAACAAACGCAGTCAAGATACGCTGCTGTACAGATAGTTTATTCTTTTTATTTTCTGTTGTCTGTACATGTCCCGTCAGATGATACTTAAAAACACACAGACCATGTCTACGACTCTACCACTGGGGATATACGCAGGTGATGAAGGTGTCTGGATGCGCATCAGGCTCTCGCCTTCATAAAGCATCCCCGCTCAGTGTGATATGACTCTACATGCTCCAGTGGTATTGTGATATGACGCTACATTCTCCAGTGGTAGTGTGATATGACGCTACATATTCCAGTGGTAATGTGATATGACTCTACATCCTCCAGTGGTAGTGTGATATGACGCTACATCCTCCAGTGGTAGTGTGATATAATGCTACATCCTCCAGTGGTAGTGTGATATGACTCTACATCCTCCAGTGGTAGTGTGATATGATGCTACATCCTCCAGTGGTAGTGTGATATGACGCTACATCCTCCAGTGGTAGTGTGATATGATGCTACATCCTCCAGTGGTAGTGTGATATGACTCTACATGCTCCAGTGGTATTGTGCTATGACGCTACATTCTCCAGTGGTAGTGTGATATGACGCTACATATTCCAGTGGTAGTGTGATATGACTCTACATCCTCCAGTGGTAGTGTGATATGACGCTACATCCTCCAGTGGTAGTGTGATATGATGCTACATCCTCCAGTGGTAGTGTGATATGACTCTACATCCTCCAGTGGTAGTGTGATATGATGCTACATCCTCCAGTGGTAGTGTGATATGACGCTACATCCTCCAGTGGTAGTGTGATATGATGCTACATCCTCCAGTGGTAGTGTGATATGACTCTACATCCTCCAGTGGTAGTGTGATATGACTCTACATCCTCCAGTGGTAGTGTGATATGACTCTACATCCTCCAGTGGTAGTGTGATATGACTCTACATCCTCCAGTGGTAGTGTGATATGACTCTACATCCTCCAGTGGTATTGTGCTATGACGCTGCACACACGCACGCACACACACACACACACACAAACACACACACACACACACACACACACACACACACACACACACACACACACACAGAGCACACACACATACACACACAGCACACACACAGCACACACACAGCACACACACAGCACACACACAACACACACACACACAACACACAGCACACACACAACACACACACACACATATTAAGTGGAAAGCGGAGAGAACAACTGGTTCATCCCTGTATGTTCAATGCATGTTTCAGACACCATACAGCTCGGTACCAGCACATCGACCTCGTACTGCGAGAGTCTACTGGACATGGCTGACGCTGTACCAGACATCGACCAAGCCCCGCTACTGCAGCTGCTCATCTCCCAGGCATGTTCAGGCATCGTCATCTTGCCCGACCAAGACACAACGCCATCAACCCAGAAACCAACGACGACGACGACGACGACGACGACTACAACAACTGCGAAACCTTCCACGCGTAAGCACAGAGAGACGTTAGGGTTCATTGGGCGCACGATATGTACCCCATCAGAAAAAAAACAGTTGGCTTCAAATCGTTGGCCCAAATTTAGTTTAAAATGTTTTGGGTTTTTTGTTTGATAGTCAATTAGTTAGATATATATTCTTCCACTAATTTAACAACAATTTACATCATGTATTGCAGTGTGCATCGTTAAAAACAAACGATAAATCTTACTTTTTTAAAGCAATTTGTATCATGGGTGGTACCCGTACAGCTTACGCACTTCGCTAACACCTGGTGTCATCACTTATTTTCAGTGATTCATTCATATAACTTCATCGCCACTGAGTCTTTACGTCAAACGAAATCTCTTTCGCTAATAATCGAGGCTGGGTATTCTCCGGCGTTGTTGAATTCGAACTTCATCAACAAGGAGAGGCTAGACCATCTACAGTTGTTAGTTAGAGTAACGGTAGTCGCTAGTAAGTTGTTGGTGATTGCAGACTAGCAGACAGCAGCAACACATCATCGACGTGGACATCGTTGTTATCCAAATTGTTTGTACTTTATAAGGCGAGGGGCAAAGGAAACTATACCGAGTTTGTTTTTAATGCAACTGAAAATTGAAAGAACCATCGTTAAATTTGATTATGTCTATTTAACCATCACTCATTCCTGCATCAGTTTGTAAAATGCAATCTGTGGTTTGGTATGTTTGTGTAAAAATATATTGGTTCAATGAAGACTTGGGTAAGAAATGACAGATGTTGGAAATGATTGAAATTTGTGCCGAAAAGAGCAAATGTATTGATTTTCAAACATAACATGTCTAAGATATCCATCAGCAGTTATATGTTATATAAAATGCGAATTGCTTTTTATCTTTCACTTTTTTAAACCAAATTATATCAAATTATTAAAAAAATACAACAATGTAGAAGTATTTTTTAAATGCTGACTAAGCACCAGTACAATTCCTTTTTTGGATATAATATCGCTAACTTATTTCAACTGAATATCAAACATGTGATAAAATCAACTGAGAGGTATAGTTTCTTTTGCTACTCGGTGTGTCATTTACCATTTATCATAGGAGTATGCAATCAATATCTGTAATTTATCCTTTATCGACCCTGGGCTTTCTTTGTTCACACACACAGAGCTTTACCCGGGCTAACAGTACAGCTGTGTATTTTCAGGAACATGTGGCACTGTCTTTAGCAGCGGAGCCGCAACGGCTCTGAGAGTCATCAATGGAGAAAAAGTGGCAAAGGGAGAGTACCAGTTCCTGGTTTCGTTCTTGTACCTAGGGGAGGTTGTGTGTACCGCCACAATCATAGACCCGACACACGTCTTGACGGCAGCTCACTGCACTAAGTACGTCATAGAGCGGTCGTATAACAGTACTTTATATAGATTGCAGCACATTGACCAGATTTCAACATGTACTACATCAAGAATAAAATAAATATAACCAATTCCTGTTTCCCCACAAAACAGTAAAAGGAAAATTCAACCATTTGCTATCTTTTAGAAAATGTATTCTGATGTTTGTGTTTCTTGTGTTTTATATGTGTTTGTTTTTTAGCGTTTTTGCATAATACTTAATATGTTGTCTTTGCGAAACAAAAGCACGATGGTAATAATCTCTGTTAACCCAACCCAATGTACACTTATGTATTACTAACTGCGTGTCTTCAGCGGTTTGAGGACAAGCGATCTGTCAGTGGGAATAGCAGAACATGATTCCACCAAGAAGGACGGCGAGAGGATCATCGATGTGAGGAAGGTTACCCAGCACCCCAGGTACAACGATAACACCCTTGGTAAGTTCAGCACAACGATGACACAGTCGGTAAGTTCAACACAACGATAACACCCTTGGTAAGTTCAACACAACGATAACACCCTTGGTAAGTTCAGCACAACGTTGACACAGTCGGTAAGTTCAACACAATGATGACACAGTCGGTAAGTTCAACACAACGATAACACCCTTGGTAAGTTCAGCACAACGATGACACAGTCGGTAAGTTCAACACAACGATAACACCCTTGGTAAGTTCAGCACAACGATGACACAGTCGGTAAGTTCAACACAACGATAACACCCTTGGTAAGTTCAGCACAACGATGACACAGTCGGTAAGTTCAACACAACGATAACACCCTTGGTAAGTTCAGCACAACGATGACACAGTCGGTAAGTTCAACACAACGATAACACCCTTGGTAAGTTCAGCACAACGATGACACAGTCGGTAAGTTCAACACAACGATAACACCCTTGGTAAGTTCAGCACAACGATGACACAGTCGGTAAGTTCAACACAACGATAACACCCTTGGTAAGTTCAGCACAACGATGACACAGTCGGTAAGTTCAACACAACAATAACAGAGTCGGTAAGTTCAACACAACGATAACATAGTCGGTAAGTTCAACACAACGATAACATAGTCGGTAAGCTCAACACAACGATAACAGAGTCGGAACGTTCAACACAACGATACCACAATCGATAAGTTCAACACAACGATACCACAGTCGGTAAGTTCAACCCGACGATACCACAGTCGGTAAGTTCAACACAACGATACCATAGTCGGTAAGTTCAACACAACGATACCACAGTCGGTAAGTTCAACACAACGATAACAGAGTCGGTAAGTTCAACACAACGATAACAGAGTCGGTAAGTTCAACACAACGATACCATAGTCGGTAAGTTCAACACAACGATACCACAGTCGGTAAGTTCAACACAACGATAACAGAGTCGGTAAGTTCAACACAACGATACCACAGTCGGTAAGTTCAACACAACGATAACAGAGTCGGTAAGTTCAACACAACGATAACATAGTCGGTAAGTTCAACACAACGATACCACAGTCGGTAAGTTCAACCCGACGATACCACAGTCGGTAAGTTCAACACAACGATACCATAGTCGGTAAGTTCAACACAACGATACCACAGTCGGTAAGTTCAACACAACGATAACAGAGTCGGTAAGTTCAACACAACGATACCAGAGTCGGTAAGCTCAACACAACGATAACAGAGTCGGTAAGTTCAACACAACGATACCACAGTCGGTAAGTTCAACCCGACGATACCACAGTCGGTAAGTTCAACACAACGATACCATAGTCGGTAAGTTCAACACAACGATACCACAGTCGGTAAGTTCAACACAACGATACCAGAGTCGGTAAGTTCAACACAACGATAACAGAGTCGGTAAGTTCAACACAACGATACCACAGTCGGTAAGTTCAACCCGACGATACCACAGTCGGTAAGTTCAACACAACGATACCATAGTCGGTAAGTTCAACACAACGATACCACAGTCGGTAAGTTCAACACAACGATACCAGAGTCGGTAAGTTCAACACAACGATAACAGAGTCGGTAAGTTCAACACAACGATACCACAGTCGGTAAGTTCAACCCGACGATACCACAGTCGGTAAGTTCAACACAACGATACCATAGTCGGTAAGTTCAACACAACGATACCACAGTCGGTAAGTTCAACACAACGATAACAGAGTCGGTAAGTTCAACACAACGATAACAGAGTCGGTAAGTTCAACACAACGATACCATAGTCGGTAAGTTCAACACAACGATACCACAGTCGGTAAGTTCAACACAACGATAACAGAGTCGGTAAGTTCAACACAACGATACCACAGTCGGTAAGTTCAACACAACGATACCACAGTCGGTAAGTTCAACACAACGATACCACAGTCGGTAAGTTCAACACAACGATAACAGAGTCGGTAAGTTCAACACAGCGATAACAGAGTCGGTAAGTTCAAAGGTGAACAAATGTTAGGTAAAAGTAGTGGGGTGCACCTAAAAGTTAATAAAATGAACTGAAATCATTCCCGAAACCGTTTGTGTTTATTTAGCCAAAGGTTAATCAATAAATTATTTTTATTGAAGATTTGTCACCAAACAATTTAGTTGTGTGTTTTTATGTAACGTCAACATGGCAAGTATACTTTAAAAAGGGGAGGGTGCACTCACTAGAATCTCTTCTGAATCCGCTCATGCAGGCTCTACACGTAGCGACTCGAAATTTTCCAGGAGGGATTTTGATTTCTGTTCCCCCCAAAATTAACTTGTTTATTGAAACAACTTGAAATTTCAATTGTTCACTGATGAAATCAGCTGAAACAAATATAGTTTCCCTTCCCTAAAGTCTTGTACCTTGTCTAAGCATGTTTATTTTGTATGTGGGTCAGTGGGTCAGTGTTACCCGACTGTTGGTCAGTGTTACCCGACTGTGGTCAGTGTAACCCGACCGTGGGTCAGTGTTACCCGACTGTGGGCCAGTGTTACCCGACTGTGGGTCAGTGTTACCCGACTGTTGGTCAGTGTTACCCGACTGTGGGTCAGTGTGCCCCGGTAGCGATAACGTTGCTCATACCACCAGCCATTGGTTTGTTAGGTTCAGCATACCCCCATTCATGTAGCTTTAATTGTGCTGCGGCTTAAAACAACATCCGTTTATAAGGTTTGCGCTTTGCAAACCGCCGTCAAATGGAATAAATATTCTTAACTGGTTATGCCTTCAGTGAACGACATCGCTATCCTGACGCTGAAGAAACCTATCACCGGTATCAAGAACGCCGAGCCCGTGTGTCTCCCAGTCAACGGGCAGTGCGGGAACCTCAGAAATAGGAACTGTGTTGTCGCAGGGTGGGGAGCCATCTCACAGCAGGGGGGTTCAAGTAGGTGACAGTCATATGACATGATGTTGATCTGTCACTTCTCTGATTTGTTACCCCTGGGATTCCGGATGAGAGTTATAGGTCCCGTTCAACCTACAGAGGTCGATCCGGCTAGTGACACATACAGGTCGATCCGGCTAGTGACACATACAGGTCGATCCGGCTAGTGACACATACAGGTCGATCCGGCTAGTGACACATACAGGTCGATCCGGCTAATGACACATACAGGTCGATCCGGCTAGTGACACATACAGGTCGATCCGGCTAGTGACACATACAGGTCGATCCGGCTAGTGACACATACAGGTCGATCCGGCTAGTGACACATACAGGTCGATCCGGCTAGTGACACATACATGTCGATCCGGCTAGTGGCACATACAGGTCGATCCGGCTAGTGACACATACAGGTCGATCCGGCTAGTGACACATACAGGTCGATCCGGCTAGTGACACATACAGGTCGATCCGGCTAGTGACACATACAGGTCGATCCGGCTAGTGACACATACAGGTCGATCCGGCTAATGACACATACAGGTCGATCCGGCTAGCGACACATACAGGTCGATCCGGCTAGTGACACATACAGGTCGATCCGGCTAGTGACACATACAGGTCGATCCGGCTAGTGACACATACAGGTCGATCCGGCTAGTGACACATACAGGTCGATCCGGCTGGTGATATATCTAACGAGTTGATCATTACTAATTCAAAAGTTACAGACAGTTCTGTCAGTGAAATACTAAACTGATGGGGTGACAGGCTTGCGTTGAAGTTACGATAAGATAACGGGCTTGTGTTGACGTTCTGTTGAATTACCAGCCTTATGTTGACGTTATATTGAGGGAACAAGCTTGTGTTGACGTTGTGATGAGGTAACAAGCTTGTGTTGACGTTGTGATGAGGTAACAAGCTGGTGTTGACGTTGTGATGAGGTAACAAGCTTGTGTTGACGTTGTGATGAGGTAACAAGCTTGTGTTGACGTTATGATAAGGTAACATACTTGTGTTGACTTTATGATAAGGTAACATACTTGTGTTGACGTTATGATAAGGTAAGGGGCTTGTGTTGACGTTGTGATGAGGAAACAGACTTGTATTGGCGTTATGATGAGGTAACAGGCTTGTGTTGGCGTTGTGATAAGGTAACAAGCTTGTGTTGACGTTGTGATGAGGTAACAAGCTTGTGTTGACGTTATGATAAGGTAACATACTTGTGTTGACTTTATGATAAGGTAACATACTTGTGTTGACGTTATGATAAGGTAAGGGGCTTGTGTTGACGTTGTGATGAGGAAACAGACTTGTATTGGCGTTATGATGAGGTAACAAGCTTGTGTTGACGTTATGATGAGGTCACAGACTTGTGTTGACGTTGTGATAAGGTAACAAGCTTGTGTTGGCGTTGTGATAAGGAAACAGACTTGTGTTGACGTTATGATAAGGAAACAGACTTGTGTTGACGTTGTGATAAGGAAACAGACTTGTGTTGACGTTGTGATAAGGTAACATACTTGTGTTGACGTTGTGATGAGGTAACAGGCTTGTGTTGACGTTATGATGAGGTCACAGACTTGTGTTGACGTTATGATGAGGTAACATGCTTGTGTTGACGGTGTGAAGCAGTAACAGGCTTGTGTTGACGTTGTGATGAGGTCACAGGCTTGTATTGGCGTTATGATGAGCTCACAGGCTTGTGTTGGCAGTGTGATGAAGTAACAGACTTGTGTTGACGTCATGATGAGGTAACAAGCTTGTGTTGACGTTATGATAAGGTAACATACTTGTGTTGACGTTGTGATGAGGTAACAGACATGTGTGGACGTTATGATGAGGTAACAAGCTTGTGTTGTCGTTGTGATGAGGTCACAGGCTTATGTTGACGTTATGATAAGGTAACATACTTGTGTTGACGTTGTGATGAGGTCACAGGCTTATGTTGACGTTATGATAAGGTAACATACTTGTGTTGACGTTGTGATGAGGCCACAGGCTTCTGTTGACGTTATGATATTGTATCATACTTGTGTTGACGCTGTGATGAGGTAACAAGCTTGTGTTTACGTTGTGATAAGGTAACATACTTGTGTTGACGTTATGATGAGGTCACAGGCTTGTGTTGACGTTATGATAAGGTAACATACTTGTGTTGACGTTGTGATGAGGTCACAGGCTTGTGTTGACGTTATGATAATGTAACATACTTGTGTTGACGCTGTGATGAGGTAACAGGCTTGTGTTGACGTTGTGAAGCAGTAACAGACTTGTGTTGACGTTGTGATGAGGTAACATACTTGTGTTGACGTTATGATGAGGTAACAGGGTTGTGTTATTGTGTTATTGTCACAGACAACTCCTGAACCCTGATGATGATCAGATGCCAACCACGACGTCCACATAGGTGCATATACTTGTTTTCCAAGCCTAGTCTTTATGTTAAATCTGACCCCCTTAGACTTCTATATATGTAACTATGCCTATATAATATGCACGTACATGCTGTATGGCTAGATAACAGAAAACATATGAATGCAGATTAAAGTAATGTTCATTATTTAAACACAAATAGATGTGTAGCATGACAACAAACAAATCCCAATAGAAAAAGGATATAGGTATGTTCCTGACTTGTCTCCAGATACGTATCCTAGCTCCCCCTTCGACGCTACTGTCCAGGTGTATGATGGAACCGCCTGCCCTCTCCAAGCTGCATCCCCCAGTGACGAGAAGACTCAGATCTGTGCTGTAGGGGCATCCGACACCTGTGAGGTGAGTGTATCTTCTCTATCTTGATGATGGCCTCGAATACTTGTGACTGCGTTCGTGATCGAGTGGACAGAAAGTGTGCCTGGAGAGAAGAAGGTCCGGGGTTCGATTCTCGGCCGTCATACCAAAAGACGTTAAAAGATGGTACTTGCAACCCTGCCTGGCGCTCGGCATTAAGGGGTTAAAACAAGGACTGGTCGGCCCGGAGTCAGTATACTGTGTCTGAGTGGAGTGTTCATGTTAAACTGCGGCATGGTATGGCTAGCGCTATAAAGCCGGCATTAGTTCGGACGAGTACAAGCAGCCACACACACACGTGCATGCACGTCGCTATATGAGTGCAGTAACCTGCAACGTGACGTTAAACCCTGTTGTACCTCACCTTGAATAGTTATGTCTAAAATGGAACTCTGTAATACTAAAAATGGAATAACTTTTGTGAATGAATGTTTAATAGTACCCAAGTCATATTATGCTAGGGAGACTTCACTCATTGTATAGTTGTGAATGGAACCCAGGTCTTGCGTGTGTCCAGGGATGTTTTAACCACCAGGATTCTACGGTACCATTGCATTCCGAGACCTTCGACGCTAACTGAGGAACCACATATTCGCCAACTTAAATCTCAGTGTGTCATTTAACATTATAAGACATTCTTGGCGACTGAGAAGGCTTGAATCATATTGCCATTTACGTTGAGATACAGACAGCGCAGTTTACAAGACGCTTGGTGTTGCGCTGCCATTGTGTTCAAAGAAGCTGTGGTTCAATAGGGATGTCATAACGCATCTGTTAAACAATAGCTATGACGTCACTCTAGTATTTCATCTGTAGGTTATCTGTAATGAATTGACGGTTTACTTCCCTACTTTCTGCAGTGCACATTTTGAGATCGCGTTTTAATTAATTCTGAGTACAGGACGAATGCACGGGCTAGTTTAAATACAGCACATATCGAAGGTATTACGAATGTACTCCATGAAATATTTGTGTTGTATTTATTTTCAAGCTGTATTTTAATCTGATAAAGCAGTCAACTTTGATGCTGTATTTTTAAGTCCGAAAACGTAACTGAACAATGGTTACAAAAAAGATACTCAGCTTCAGTTAAACCACATTATCAACATAATTAGTTTATGATGGTTCTTCTGGATAAAATTTTCATTGTCTGAAATTACAAATGAAACAATTACCACATCATTATTATTAACCTTGCTCCAAGGCTGCACTGAAAGAAAAGTCCATGGATTTGTAGTAATTCTATCCTCCTAATAGGCAAGTCTAGATATGTGGACAGTACCTAGTCTAAGGACTTCAGTCTCTCATAGGCGACTTATTCTCAATATTTACATAATCTAGAAATTATGATATTACAACTTTCTGAGTGAAGTGCAGATTCTACAGATTTTGGGGGTTGAGTCCCATCCGGTATTCGAACCCACATTCGAAAGCACAAAATGTACTACAATCTGTACTTCACTAAGAAAGTGTTCGAATCCCGGATGGGACTCTACCCCAAAAAGTACGAGAATCTGTACTTCCTAAGAAAGTGTTATCCCAAATATATCCCATTTGGCCACTGTCGAAATGGCATTGTGTCATTCGTTAACAACTCGTTTTATTCCAGGACATGCCGAATAGCGACCCGTACCCCTTTCGTGGCTATTTTGGCGACTGGGTTCAGTCTAACCGCAGACGGGAATAGCTAAAGGAATTGTGAACTCGTGGCGCAATGATTCACGTATATTTCATATATATTCCGGATGCTATTGAAATCACACCGGGGACTTACAGTATTATACAGTGTGATTGCACACATTTAACTGTGTTTGGGGTATATTTTTAAATGCAAGACATATGTAAAGTAACAAAAAAATTCTTTAAAGTCATACACGCATTCTGATTGGTTTTACGTTTTTTCGCACATAACTTCATCGATAGGGGGACGAATCTTCTTGCAGGTTACGGAAAGGGGCGAGCTTTGACGAATTGGCATTGTGTGTTCATAATTATGATATTAACTAATAATTATGCCTTAGAGACTTGTGCAAGGCTAAATTATTATGTTCAATAAATATAATGACTGATGATAAATATTACACTTCAGGGCGATTCTGGCGGTCCGCTGGTGTGCAAGTTCGGCGGGAGATGGGTACAGTGCGGTATTACGTCCTACGGTACACGGCTGTGTAACACAAGGAATACCCAGGCCATCTACACGAAGGTACCCGCATACAACAGGTGGATCCAGTCAGTTCTTGCCAGCTGAACATCCGGGAACTGTCGTGCGGCTCATGTGACATGCTTCTCAATAAAGATGAAGTCGTTGTTCTGTCTGTTCAACGATTGTCCCTCCAAAGCTTAAGACTTGACTTAATTTTTGCGTTTGAGGATTAAGAACGTAAAACTAGCTGTGCACATTAAGTAAATCCGCGTCGGTTTATGGAAGCATCAACGCAACAATATTTGCTGTAATACCTGCACGATTCCTACTATGTTATAAGCATATGTTTATGAATCACTTTCACATAGGGGGCTGTCGGGTAGCCTAGTGGTTAAAGCGTTCGCTCGTCACGCCGAAGACCCGGGTTCGATTCCCGACATGGGTACAATGTGTGAAGCCCATTTCTGGTGTCCCCCGCCGTGATATTGCTGGAATATCTAAAAGCGGCGTAAAACCATACTCAGTAAGTCAGACTTTCACATAGTGATGACACAGGTGTTCGCGAAAAGGTGAGTCTATCCTGCCCCACCGATGGCACCCGTCACAAACACATGCAAGGAAATTGTTGACCTGAAATAACACGGAGCATAAGTATAATCATACAACATAAAAGTTGTTGAAAGATTAACTGAGGCCTTGAATGTTGTAAGCTTGATCAAACAACTTTTGAGCCTGCTGTCTATGATGGTCGCAGAAAGAGTATGCTCGATTGTTGTGAAATGTAGACACCAAATGCTGGAGCTGCTTGAATATTAAGGAAAATTTGACTTTGGGAAAGTTTTAAATCTATGGTGCGGTACTTTTGTGTCAAAATCAACTGGTTCAATGAAGACAGTGTAAGAAATACACTTGCAACCAAATGACTCTAACATATTTAAATCTGTGCCCAAAAAGCATTTTTATTGATTTTAAAAGATAAGATGTCTAAGATACCCATCAGCAGTGCATTATGCGAATTTGTTTTCTTTTTTAAGTTCTAAATCAAATTATGTTTTGGAGTACTGCTAAAAGCGGCGTAAAACCATACTGACTCACTCATTCTACTGTAATAACCAGTCCTGCATAATTTTTATTAAAACTGGTATTCTGTTTAAAGCAAAATAAATCCAACCCACATACTGACTCACACCATATGACTAAGCTCTATCAATACAAAACAGCCCCCTTTGTGTTACCAGCTGTGGGAACACAATAAGGTTGAACGACACAATACAAAATATACACCGCCCGGCAGACAAAAGAATACACTTGAACACTGCATTTGACCCCAACATTACAAACGTTTTCAAAACGTTACAAGGATGAGAGCAGTCGCCGAAGCACTGCAAACGTAAGGTTCAAAACACAACTATGATACCCGTAGGAAATACAGCTCCATCGAACAACCATGTCACGTTTGTTTCAGTTTTAGCCAGCATCATACATTGGCGTACACTTTCGTTTGCCCGGCAGATTATCAAAGCACGTCGATGCGTTTCCGAAGATTAAATGAAACAATTAGGCCTTTGTGAATAATAATGCAAGATTTGCAAGTATGTAACTATTTCCTTTCAGGAACACAATGGCATTTAAGATTCTCGCTCGCTCGTTCGGTCGTTCGTTCGTGAGTGAGTGAGTGAGTGATGTTTAACACCGCTTTATATCACGGCGTGTCAGCTTAATGTGGGAGGAAAGCCCGAAGTGATGCAGGTCTTAGACCACTTCGGTGAAACCCACGAGCACGGGTATGGTGCTGACAAACCTAGAAACATAATCGGGGCGAACCGGGATTTGAACCCACAATCATAGGTTTCTGATCCACAACATGAATCGGGGGATATATTTAATTGATCGGGGCACCAACATTAAATTACTGTTGAGAATGTTGTCTAACTGAAACTGAGTATCATTATTTGTAACAATTGTAATATCAAAACTGAGAAATATATGAAGTTGAGGGAATGAAGATGATTTTTGTTCAAGGCGAGAATAGTTCAGGGTGTTTCCCTGTGGTTTGAGATCGAGTGGAATGACTTTCGAAACGTATTCATTTCAGCAATTCCCGTTACTGGTGACTCGCTAATTAAAGGCGCTTGGTGGAATGTTGTGGCATTGCGGCATACACGGTTGACTAATGCCGTCTCTGCATTACACCTCTCCGAAACAAAATAGACAGAAAACCACGAAAAAACCCTAGAAACAACTTGTCCATCGTAAAAATATGTGTATCCATCACAACGTAAGGTAGAAATGTGGTGAAGTATTAAATACGTAACAAAGATGTCGGTTTTTTCATTGTCCTGCGTAAGCCTGGTCCATCTAGGGTCACCATTGCCTACAACTCCGCAGAGCAATATGAATCCAGTTTAAAACGTAGGCTGGACATGTATACTGTGTCGGTCTGACTTCCATTGATTTGGCTGACTCAACGTTTAACGCTGGTCACGAATATATTTGCTGAAGAATGACACGATTGTAATACAGATTTCAAATCATACAAAAACGTACAAGAATTGGTCTGATTTCATATTTCGTCGCATAACATGCCAGGACATATGGGAATAGCAGCGAGAATCGCTTGATTAAATCAACTTGTATTCAGTACTAGTATTTGTTTTATGAGCAGATGACTTCGACTTTGTTGAATCTCACCTCAGCAGTATGGGACAGTACGGTAAATACCAAATCTCCGGAGACCACACGGACGTTTCTTGTTCCAGGAAATACGTTCAGCTGATCCTGCCCGCAAACTTAAACTAAACCTTAGTCATAAATAGGTATAGTTAGGTGACATTGGGTTTAAAGTAGCGTTCACGATTATTGCACATTTATGTATATATACGAGGGGTGTTCATTGAAGATTTCCCCTAAACCACTTAGGGTTATCATATCTGGTTGAAATTTCACATGTGTAATGATACATGTATGGATGTTCAGCTTGCAAGAACATGACAATGGAGCCAGTAGAATACCGAGCAGTGATTAGGTTTTTATATTTGAAAGGTCGTCACACCAAAAGAAACTTTCGATGAAATGAAAGCAACTTATGTGGAAGATGCCCCATCATATGACGTTGTTAAACACTGGCATCGCCAGTTCAAGTGTGGTCGGACATCTGTGGAAACAGCTGCGATTCCTGGTCGCCCCCATTCAGCCATTGATGAGGACACTATCCATCAAGTCATTTTGACAGCCCGACGTATAACTTTTCGCCAGTTAGCACAAGATGTCAAGATCAGTGTAGGGTCTGTGGAAAAAATCATCTATGACAATTTGAACATGCATAAGGTGTCTGCACGATTGATTCCAAGGTTGCTCACACCTTTCCAAAAGCAGGAACGAGTCAATTGCTCAAAGGTCTTTTGGACATGTGCCCAAAAAACCAGGCAAACTTTTTTGACAGACTTATCACACAGGATGAAACATGGGTCCATCACTATGGTCCTAAGACTAAAGTTCAGTCGATGCAATGGAAGCATGTGGAGTCACCACCCCCAAAGAAGGCACGTGTCCAACCCTCTGCAGGCAAGGTCATGCTCACGGTGTTTTGGGACCAGCACGGAGTAGTGATGATGGATTTCTTGGCAAAGGGTACCACAATTACAGGAGCTTATTATGCTTCACTGCTGCGTAAATTGCGGGACGCTATCAAGCTTAAGAGGCGTGGCATGCTGACCAAGGGTGTCCGTCTCCTGCAAGACAATGCTCCAGTACACAACTCTCATGTTGCCCAGACAGAAGAGCGGTCCTGTGGCATTGAAATCCTTCCACATCTTCCTTACTCTCCTGACCTTGCACCATCTGACTTCCACCTCTTTCCAACCATGAAGTCATTTTTGAAGGGAAAACGTTTCACAGATGATGAAACACTGATTTCTGAAGTCAAGTCCTGGTTTGAGACGCAAAATGAGGGCTGTTACAAGCGAGGTCTCCATAGTTGCATAAACCGATGGGAGAAGTGTGTAACTCTTGGTGGTTCCTATGTTGAGAAAGACTAATACCTATGCCAAGTTTTATTCCACTAGGTCCATCGGAAGTAGGTCAGGGGAAATCTTTATTGAACACCCCTCGTATATATATTTATGCATGCGACGTAGTCGAAAAGATGTGACACTTTTCAAAGACAACGTTTTCTTTAACTACTTGTATTCTCTATAGCTTACCCTGTCCATTGTATTCACAATTACATTCTTGTATAGCTTGAGCATAGAACGTACACTGTCCAATGTATTCACTATTAGTTCTTTTCTAGCTGGATAGCTGGAGCACTGGGCATACCATGTCCATTGTATTCACTATTACATTCGCGGTATAGCTAGAGCATAGAGCATACACTGTCCATTGTATTCACTATTACATTCGTTGTATAGCTGGAGCGTAGAACTTACACTGTCCATTGTATATAATTACAGTCATGGTAAAGCTTAAGCATAGAGCTTGCAATTCTCCATTGTATTCACTATGACATTCGTGGTATAGCTAAAGCATAGAGGTTAAATTGTCCATTGTATTCACTATTACATTCTTGTATAGCTGGAGCGTAGAACTTACACTGTCCATTGTATTCACTATTACAATCATGGTATAGCTAAAGCATAGAGGTTACATTGTCCATTGTATTCACTATAACATTCTTATATAGGTAGATCATAAAGCTTAAACTGTCCATTGTAATTTCACTATTACATTTTTATATAGCTAGAGCATAGACCTTTAACTGCCCATTGTATTATCTATCACAGTCATAGTATAGATGGAGCGAGGAACTTACATTGTCCATTGTATTATCTATCACAGTCATGGTATAGCTGGAACGAGGAACTAAAATTGCCCATTGTATTATCTATCACAGTCATGGTATAGCTGGAACGAGGAACTAACATTGCCCATTGTATTATCTATCACAGTCATGGTATAGATGGAGCGAGGAACTTACATTGCCCATTGTATTATCCATCACAGTCATGGTATAGATGGAGCGAGGAACTTACATTGTCCATTGTATTATCTATCACAGTCATTGTATAGCTGGAACGTAGAACGTACCCGGTCTATTGTATTCACTATTACCTTCATCGACGGTTGTAGATGCATGACTGTCAAAGACTCCAACACTCCAACTGTACGCAATTTCTTATTCAGTCCCGGTGATATATACACCAAGCACAAACCATGCTGCCACCCACTGAAGCCTGTTTCTGTAGATAATCGAGACTGGTTATTGTCTGTCGCTGACGTTTTATATTTGTTAAGCAGACAATACGCTGTGACATGAAACGAGCGTGTTTTATCTGAGAATATGAAAAGATTTAGCTTTCCGGAGACCATTACGTCCGTGTGTGGAGGAGAATCACGTTTTGTATACACCTTGTACGGCACTTGTTTATATATCTATGGTATCGTTATGTTTAGGTCTTACAACATCAGTAAGGAGTGGTATGTCTGAAATTTTGTCATACATTTTGTAAGATTACGGACGTTAATTCGCATTTACCTTCATTTCCGTGTCAACCTTCAACATGGTGATGGTGTGTGTGATAGCGCTGCTAACAGTAGTGGCACAGACAATGGTTCCTGTGAGGTGTGTGTCCAGCGACTATGACGCTTTTAAACATGTGTCCTGCTACCTGGACGTGGCGGAACACGACCTACAAGGTTGTGGCTCAGTGCAAGAATGCATGTGAGTATTAAACAGCGCACTATTCTCAGATGAACATTTTGAGAATGGATGAGTTGAGTTTGACGCCTCTGGGAACATTTTATCGGTTATATTACTATGTGTCAGCTTAATCTGAGAGGAAAACTCAAGACGATGCCTCCCTCACACTTTTTATCATCCAAAACTGGCTCCCACAGGAGATAACGCTTAGGTAAGATAAAGCGATATCTACGTTGTATATATCGCTGCAATAAAATTGAAGTTTGCAGACCATTGTGATGTCATTGTTACCATGACGTCACAATCAAATGACATCACTATTGCCTCTGCTGCTGAAGCTGTTAGCAGTACTTTTTACACTTAAGACACTGCTTATTACAGTCTGCAAACTGCAAAAGTTGGAAGGGTGATGTTGGATGATAAATAAAATCTCACCCTCGTGTCTTTTGATATCAAATATATCAACAATCGTTGATATAATTGAAATCAAAAGACACCCTTGTGAGATTCTCTATATATTTTCCACCTTGGTGAAACCTACGAGCACGGGTATGGTGAGAAAAAACAAGAATCATTTTCAGGGGGAATCTGTCATCGGATCCTGTCGCAGCTAAGGCAGCGAACTGCGATCACAAGAATGACTGATCGAACCTTGCGCCAAACATATTTATGAACGTCAACAGAAGCAAAAGAGTAGTAGAATGAAATTGGTGGTTATGGAGAACTTGCATATAAGAGAAGGGCATATGATGTGATAAGTCAGGGGCAGCCCAAATGATTCTGTGGAGTTACCGTTCAGTCATTGCTTGATGGGTGATGTTTAGTCGCATTTTACTGTTACTGGTTATCTTCTCAGCAATGAGAGAGGTCCTTGAAGGCTTGGACGTTGGCTGGACGAAGACTGGACGTTAGATGACCATGCCTTGGAGTGAGTGAGTGAGTTTGGTTTAACGACGATTTTAACAGCATTTCAGTTATATCACGATGTGTCAGCTTATGTCGAAGAGATCTAGATCTAACATGTTGACCACTTTTTTGGAACCCAGGAGAACGGGGATACGCATAAAATGCTGACAAAGGAAGAACATAATCATGGCGAAGAGAGATTCAAAACCAAGATCTTAGGATCCTGTCACCCCTAATCAACATAACTCTGCGCAGCGTATTTGGTGACTGGATTATCCACGATCCATCGCGCACTGGAACTAGATCGATCAGTTGTCTTTGCTCAGACGTCTTTGATTTGCATGTGATTGATGTGTCGGTTGCACTATTCTAGTGAAGTACAAACCACGTATTTACATATTTCACAGAATCCTTTTGAGAACTGTTTCCGATGTTTATGTATTTGTGATCAGCATTTTTTTATCCACTGCCATTGCACATCTTCCAAGATAATTAGCTTTAAGTAACTCACACTTTACCAACCGCATCACATCGCTGTAGTCACAGGTGGCCAATTCGACTTAAACGTCAACAAGTCCCTGTGCAGAGTTCTGTTCCTTTGCTATCCCAGGATCCTATGATCGTCGGTTTGAATCCCATTACACCCCTATTTTGGCCGTGGTTTGTCAACACCATACCCGTGCTTGTGGCAAACGTTTAAAATATGGATCACATCGGACTTTCTCCCACATTAAGCTGACACAACGTGATATAACTGAACTGCTGTTCAAAGCGGTGTTACTTCAAACACACTCTCTCACGACAAATCATTACAACAAGTAAATAATGCAAACCTGTAAAATGTCAAAGCAAGATAGGTATACAACTTTGTATCTCAGACACATGTCTTATTGTAAACCAACAATGGCAGAAACAAAAACTTTTTAAAAAAAGTATGGATTTAGGATTTGCAAGTAAACACGTTGAACAATCTCGACCCACTATCCAAACATGCACACAGCTGCCTCTCATATGGCAATTGTTGGATTCTAACAGACAAATGACCCATTATTTGTGCATATTGTTGTATTTACTTTAAAAGCTGAAGACGGCATACAGTTACTTCACTTTGCAACGATGGCCCGTATGTGCATAGCTATATTTGCAACAGTCATTGCGACTGCATATGCAACATTTGATGATTTCCAAGCATTTGAAGCAGTGCAGCTGTACAGAGCGAGCGCTGAAACTGCCCTACAAGCCTGCGGGGCAGATGCGTCATGCGTGTGAGTAACAACTTTCTGCGACACAGTTGTTGGCAGATAACCAAGGATCTTGTCTATAGGTGTTGCTTTTGTCTAAGGTTGTACTTGTTGACAGTTGTTTCTCGTGTTTGCTTCTTTTTTTTTCGCTGTTTGACGCTGCCCTCAGCAACATTCCATCTATATAACGCCAGTCTGTAAATAATCGTGTCTAGACAAGACAATCCAGTGATTGAGCCTGTTGTTCATGTAGACAGTTGTTGCTGAAGTAGATAGTTGTTGCTCACGTAGATAGTTGTTGCTCAAGTAGATAGTTGTTGCTGAAGAAGACAGTTGTTGCTGAAGTAGATAGTTGTTGCTCACGTAGATAGTTGTTGCTGAAGAAGACAGTTGTTGCTCAAGCAGAAAGTTATTGCTCAAGTAGATAGTTATTGCTCAAGAAGATAGTTGTTGCTCATGTAGATAGTTGTTGCTCATGTAGATAGTTATTGCTCAAGTAGATAGTTGTTGCTCATGTAGATAGTTGTTGTTCATGTAGATAGTTCTGGCTCATGTAGATAGTTGTTGCTCATGTAGATAGTTGTTGCTCACGTAGATAGTTGTTGCTCATGTAGATAGTTATTGCTCAAATAGATAGTTGTTGCTCACGTAGAAAGTTGTTGCTCAAGTAGATAGTTGTTGCTCACGTTAACAGTTGTTGCTAATGTAGATAGTTGCTGCTCATGTAGATAGTTGTTGCTCACGTAGATAGTTGTTGCTCAAGTAGATAGATGTTGCACAAGTAGATAGTTGTTGCTCAAGTAGACAGTTGTTGCTCAAGTAGATAGTTGCTGCTCATGTAGATAGCTGTTGCTCACGTAGATAGTTGTTGCTCACGTAGACAGTTGTTGCTCAAGTAGACAGTTATTGCTCATGCAGATAGTTATTGCTCATGTAGATAGTTGTTGCTCAAGAAGATAGTTGTTGCTAAAGTAGATAGTTGTTGATAACGAGTAGCTGCTTTTCCAAACTGTTAAGGAAGACTGAAGTCTATCAGACAAATTAGAATCACACCTCAGAGCTTGACGATCATCATATTAAAAGACAATATCATGTGAAAACTAACAATAACTTCCGTAACAATTTCTAACAATGCACAACTCAATCTCTGGCAATCTGAACGGTATCCGTCTCAGGGAAATCGTCACAACTGACAAAGGTCCTGATCAACAAAGAAGGATTCTGCAATAATGTTTTTATTATACATATGGAGATGTTAATAACAGTACTGATTCGGGAGGCACTATGCCAGAATTGACAGAATGTTCACTGTTTCCAGGGATTTAATGGTTGAATCTACTCTTTGCATCTATTCTTGTCTCCCGAGGCAAGGGAGTGAACTGGCTGTAAAAGTCCAGTTTCCACCTTTGCCGAACTGGGCTGGAATTTCTGGGCATGATCGTAACGACACCAGGGTTATTAAGAGTTACTTCCTTTCCATGTCCCTTCTATTGACTAATCAGATTCTACCTCTCATGTCACTTGCGTTTGCTTCAAATAAAATGGCGTCGCTCATTGAAGACGATCGGATCGATAATCAATGAAAGATCTATATTGTAATAAAATGGGTCTTACATCAAATCACATGAGCACCTTGATTAAAAACAATAAACGATTTGGAAAATATCTGTTGACGATTTGTTGTCGGTACACATGCTTTGCAAATCCTGCAGTCGACCGAAATCTGCACGGCTGTTTACGAATCGGATGTCGATTTCGTTGCGCGATTTTGATTTGACTTTGCAAAAGACTCGATTGTCCAGCCCAAATATAACTCCATAATTCCAGCCTAGTTCGGCAAGGGTAGGATTTTTATAGTCAGTTAACTCCCGAGCTTCAGGAAGATGACTGTTTGTAACTCATTCTGTACTCCAGCTCCGACCGTGTAGCCACTCGTGTCCTCGAGAGCCTCTCCTCGCTCCCTATCCCCACAGTGGAGGCTGTCTACAACCACGTCCTCGGCAAAAAGGATGTCTTTACAGTCTCCCAATATATTGACTCCGTGTACCTGAAAAGGCTGACGATACAGTTTGGTAGCGACGTGGCCAAGCTGAACAACGTCCTGAAGGCGTTCTTCAACACAACCATCACAGCCTACTACGACGACGTCACCAACAGCGAAAAGACGTTTGAGGAGGTGGCCTCAGATTTACTCCGTCAACTGCGGCGTGAGTTAAAGGTCTGGGATGGCAAGGCTGCAGACTTCTGGAACGCCATCAACACTTTGAGGGCATACGGCAGTCAGGATGTAATGCAAGCTCTAGAGGGTTATACCAAGAGAAGTAAGTGAAATGTGCTACCCTGTACGTCAGTAGTGCGTTAAGGGGCTCTCACACTTTGCCGAGTTGCGTCCCGAGTATGGACCCGGGGGTACTCGTATGGAGCTCGTAGCAAGGTCGTACTTAACTCGGGATAACTCGGAATACCTCGTACTGATCTACGAGAGAGAACTGCTTAAAACAATCGGGCCGCCAACCAACTCCTAAGAAACCCGTAAGAAACTCGTAACACACTCGTAGTACCCTCGTGGCGACCTCGTGGTGCTCGTACAGAACTCGTATGAGGATCGTCTGCACAATTTATTGCCGAGTTGACCGAGTCTAATACGAGCTATTCGAGCCTCCATGTTAAATCATGTAACAAATTCCCGCCGAATTATTTAGCAGCTCGTAGCCACCTCGTACCAAAGTCGTACCAAAGTCGTACCAAACTCGTACAGCTCGTATCGAGATCGTTGTGCTCGTATTCAAGTCTTAATAGACTCCTATTGGACTCCTATTGGACTCCCATCGGACTCATATAAGGCTCGTAACACACTCGTAGTGTACTCGTATGATACTCGTATATATGTAGTCTCTTCCCGAGTCCTAACCGAGTTAGGCTCGGCAACCACCTCGGCAAAGTGTGAGACCTCCTTTTGGCTATGTGATATAATTGTGCTCCGAGGCCACAGACCGTATCTAGGCAGCTGGTTTTTGCAAGTATATTAAAGTAGGATTAGAAAGTGGGATTAGAATAGTACTACAATCACTTTATGAAAATGGGCAGTGTTGGTGTCATCTGATAGATGCTTTGTTTGTTTTATTTGTTGGTGTGTTTATTTGTTTTCTTTAACACCGCACTCAGCAATAATCTAGTTGTATGACGACGGCCTATAAATAATCGAATCTGAACCAGAAAATCCAGTGATTGCTATTACGAACAACGATTCACGGTGTCGAGGTTCGATGACACGCAAGGAGGCACTATGTAGGGGTAAGACAGAAATGTGTACCCCTACTCATGAATTCCAATAATAATAAAATAATAATTGTGACTGAATGTAATTTCCTCCAACTGCATTGGCGTCGGACGAAAACTAACCATTCATCTTGGCTTCGTTCGGGCACCGTTAATAGAAACGTTGGGGATGTGTGTTCCAACATCCATAATCCCAAGAAACATTACCTATAAGCAGAGAACATTGTGCGATTTCCGGCTGAAAATAAGCATATCACTAAGGGACGGTGGGTAGCCTAGTGGTTAATGCGTTCGCTCGTCACGCCGTCGACCCGGGTTCGATTCCCGACATGGGTACAATATGTGAAGCCCATTTCTTGTATCCCCCGCGGTGATATTGCTGCAATATTGCTAAATGCGGCGTAAAACCACCCACGCATGAATCACTATCAAAAGGTGATGATACCAGGAACGCATCTCCCTACTTCATTCGTGTTGGAAACGACATTGTACAAGATACATTATTAGACCTTATCCCGTTTCAAGATTTTTTTTAACCCGTTCCAGCAATCATACAGCTCGGGTTCGAGGGTGAGCAGTCAACTTTCTGTCGGAGCCTCCTGGATACAGCGACATCACTCGGCAACATCGACGGGTTCCATTATCTGCAGACCCTCATTACACAGGCCTGCACAGGAGCCAACATCACACAGGACGGTTCGGGCGAGACTATTGTACTGGGCTTGCAGACAACGCCGACAACGGAAGCAGTGCCTAGCAGTACATCAACCGCTAATCCCCAGCCCAACACTACAACAAAGAAGCCCAGTTACAACGGTTTGGTTACTTTTGTGAAATGCTTATTTACAACTGATGTGTGGGAGTAATGAGTGGAACATTATACATTCAACATTATACATTCAACATTATACATTCAACACCATACATTCAACACCATACGTTCAACAGTATACATTCAACATTATACATTCAAAATTATACATTCAACATCATACATTCAACAGTATACATTAAACATTATACATTCAACAATATACTATAACATTATACAGTCAACATTATACATTCAATAGTATACATTCAACATCATACATTCAACAGTATACATTCAACATTATACATTCAACAGTATACTATAACATTATACAATCAACACCATACATTCAACAGTATACATTCAACATTATACATTCAGCATTATACATTCAACAGTATACTATGACATTATACATTCAGCATTGTACATTTCACGATGGTTGACATTCCCAGACACACCCTAGTATTTAAATACTTCTCTGTGTTAGATCTGCCCACAGACGTTCAGCATACCAAACTACCTAAAAATGATTATATTTCAGGAGTGTGTTCAAAAACGATTTAATGTAAATGCGATTTGACGATACTCAAATAAAATAAGGTAGTAATGAAGTAGCGGTTACACCACTACATGATAGTACATGCAGTCGCTCCAAGTCGTCACTAACCTAGGGCAACATTTATGTTTAGTACGGTATATGGACAATGCTATGTAAGAAACACATCACTCTTTCACTTAAGACTATTCAAATGCAGAGAAAGAGGTTTACCTTTGTTTCAAGGAAAGTGTGGAAGCAAGTTTGACCCGACCGTGTCCAGGCAGTTGAGAACCACCCTGGTGTCACTCCGGGTCATCAATGGGCAGACGGTGGCCAAGGGGGAGTACAAGTTCCTGGCCACCCTCATGAGGAGGGGTGGGGTCATCTGCACAGCCAGCATCATTGACCCAACACACATCCTGACGGCAGCTCACTGCACAGAGTAAGCATCAGCACCAGCCTACATACATGCCTACACACATACACACATATGTCTACACACATACCTACACACATGCCTACCGGACACGCCTACACACATACACACACATGTCCACACACATACCTACACACATGCCTACCAGACACGCCTACACACATACTCACACATGCCTACTCAAATACATACAGACATGCCTACACACGTGGCTACACACATTCTCACACATGCCTACATACATACCTACACACATGTCTACACACATACTCACACACATGCCTACACACCTACCTACATGTACATACCTACTCAAATATGCCTTCTCAAATACCTACAGACATACCTACACACGTGTCTACATACCTACACACATGCATGCATACATACCTACACACATGCATGCATACATACATACATACATACATACCTACACACATACATACATACATACATACATACATACATACATACATACATACATACATACATAAGTCTACACAAGGCTATCTATACACATACCTACTCACAAATATACACATATGCCTACACATACATACATGTGCATAATTAACACTATTTTTGTGTGACTGTGTAACGGTTTGTTTTTTGTCAGAGGTTCAACAGCGAGTGACCTGTCTGTGGGTGTGGCCGAGTTTGACATCACTCAGGTTGATGGGGAGAAGGTATATCAGGTGGAGAAGGTCACAAACCACCCACAATACGACTCCAGAAAAGTCAGTGAGTGTGTTGGTTTGGAATTTAACATCTTTAGTCTATATTAAAGTATGGTAGTTCAGATCATCTTAGCGCTAAGACTGTCGTAAGTCTATATTAAAGTATGGTAGTTAAGATCATCTTAGCGCTTAGACTGCCGTCAGTCTATATTAAAGTATGGTAGCTATGACCATCTTAGCGCTTAGACTGTCGTAAGTCTATATTAAAGTATGGTAGTTAAGATCATCTTAGCGCTAAGACTGTCGTAAGTCTATATTAAAGTATGGTAGTTAAGATCATCTTATCGCTAAGACTGTCGTAAGTCTATATTAAAGTATGGTAGTTAAGATCATCTTATCGCTAAGACTGTCGTAAGTCTATATTAAAGTATGGTAGTTAAGATCATCTTATCGCTAAGACTGTCGTAAGTCTATATTAAAGTATGGTAGTTAAGATCATCTTATCGCTAAGACTGTCGTAAGTCTATATTAAAGTATGGTAGTTAAGATCATCTTAGCACTAAGACTGTCGTAAGTTTATATTAAAGTATGGTAGTTAAGATCATCTTAGCGCTTAGACTGCCGTCAGTCTATATTAAAGTATGGTAGCTATGATCATCTTAGCGCAAAGACTGTCGTAAGTCTATATTAAAGTATGGTAGTTAAGATCATCTTAGCGCTAAGACTGTCGTAAGTCTATATTAAAGTATGGTAGTTAAGATCATCTTATCGCTAAGACTGTCGTAAGTCTATATTAAAGTATGGTAGTTAAGATCATCTTAGCGCAAAGACTGTCGTAAGTCTATATTAAAATATGGTAGTTAAGATCATCTTAGCCCTAAGACTGTCGTAAGTCTATATTAAAGTATGGTAGTTAAGATCATCTTATCGCTAAGACTGTCGTAAGTCTATATTAAAGTATGGTAGTTAAGATCATCTTAGCACTAAGACTGTCGTAAGTTTATATTAAAGTATGGTAGTTAAGATCATCTTAGCGCTTAGACTGCCGTCAGTCTATATTAAAGTATGGTAGCTATGATCATCTTAGCGCAAAGACTGTCGTAAGTCTATATTAAAGCATGGTAGTTAAGATCATCTTAGCGCTAAGACTGTCGTAAGTCTATATTAAAGTATGGTAGTTAAGATCATCTTAGCGCTAAGACTGTCGTAAGTCTATATTAAAGTATGGTAGTTAAGATCATCTTAGCGCTAAGACTGTCGTAAGTCTATATTAAAGTATGGTAGTTAAGATCATCTTAGCGCAAAGACTGTCGTAAGTCTATATTAAAATATGGTAGTTAAGATCATCTTAGCCCTAAGACTGTCGTAAGTCTATATTAAAGTATGGTAGTTAAGATCATCTTAGCGCTAAGACTGTCGTAAGTCTATATTAAAGTATGGTAGTTAAGATCATCTTAGCGCTAAGACTGTCGTAAGTCTATATTAAAGTATGGTAGTTAAGATCATCTTAGCGCTCAGACTGTCGTAAGTCTATATCAAAGTATATCGTTGTATTGGCATAATGGCGACTTTGGTAACTTTGTTTCCCTCAGTCAACGACATCTCCATTCTGACGTTGACTCAGCCCATCGCTGGCGTGCCTAACGCAGAACCTGTTTGCCTCCCTCGATGGAAGCAGTGCAAGACTATATCCAACCGAAAGTGCGTTGTAGCTGGATGGGGAGCCAAGAAGATAGTGGATAATACTCGTAAGAGTTTTGAAGTGCACGCCTGAGTGAGTGAGTGAGTGAGTGAGTGAGTGAGTGAGTGAGTGAGTGAGTGAGTGAGTGAGTGAGTGAGTGAGTGAGTGAGTGAGTGAGTGAGCGAGCGAGCGAGCGAGTGAGTGACTGAGTGAGTTTAACACCGCTTGGAAGGATCTTTCAACCTTACCCTCCATGTCATCTACAATAAGAGGTGAGCCACGAAAGTGACGCATGTCGTAGACCACATTCACTTAGGTGAAACCCGCAATCGTACCCAGAATAGGTCTTCAGCAACCCATGCTTGCCGTAAATGGCGACTATGCTTGTCGTGAGAGGCGACTAGCGGGGTCGGGTGGTCAGGCTCGCTGACTTGGTTGATGCATGTCATGGTTACCCATTTGTGTAGATTGATGCTCATGATGTCAATCACTGAATTGTCTGGTCCAGACTCGATTATTTACATACCGACGTACTATAGCTGGAATATTGTTTGTGTGGCGTTAAACAAATAAACAAACAGATTCAGGACGTGGAGATGGGGGCGGTGCACAGGTGCGCATCCCCTTTTTGAGTGAGTGAGAATGGTTTTACGCCGCATTTAGCAATATTTAAGCAATATCACGGCGGGGGACTCCAGAAATTGGCTTCACACATTGTACCCATGTCGGGAATCGAACCCGGATCTTCGGCCTGACACACTTGTATTCCCCCCCCCCCCCCCATCCCCTTTCCCCTTTTTAAGTTATCCTAATTTTGAAAAAAAAAAAAGATAACTAAATCAATTGGTGACAAGAACATTTAATTGAATACGTTTTGGATAGCAAATGCCACATGTTTCCCGAATTATGTGCAAGCACTTTGGTATTTAAATGTTCAAGCATCGTATTGTGTCATTTGGTTCAGTAAGGGATTCAAACAAACCAACGGGCGACTCAGTTTAGTTGAGTGAATGTGTGAGTATGTGTTGTGTGCCGCTTTCATAGCAATTTGCAGCAATATCACCGCGCGGACACCAAGGTTAGAATTCACAAAATGTAGGGAGTGAACAGTAGTTATTTTATTAAATGTGTCATATTATTATTATTATTATTATTATTATTATTATTATTATTATTATTATTATTATTTACACAGTGATTTTCCCTAATGCACCACGCGATGCCACAGTCAGGGCCTACGCTGGCTCTAAGTGTCCTACCAAACTACCCGCTATGAGTGACGCCAACACTCAGATCTGTGCCACTGGAAATTCCGATACCTGCAACGTGAGTATAATACACCTATATAGAAGCTAAGTAAAGTCAACGTATACTCTGAAAACATGTACAAATGTGTTGAGTTATTCATTACAAAATGTGTTTCACAATTATAGGAAATCTCTACAAAAAGCAAAGTCCATTGTACGATTCCGACTATAAAGTGAACATGTGTTTATGTGCACCATCATAAACACACGCAAAGGCCAGTCAATTGTTCACCACGGCAACATATGGTACAATTCAAAATAGATCATTCTTCTTCATCATCATCAACATCATCATCATCATCATCATCGTCATCATCGTCATCGTCATCATCAACATCATCATCATCATCATCAACAAAAACAATAAAATCAACATCTTCATAATCGACGTACCACTGTAATTATCATTTATATCATTGTTATTCTTATTCTCATGTTAAGCTGTTATGGCGAACGAAATGAACTGTGTCATGATCCAGTGTTTAATGTATAGAATTGACATAGCTACATTTTGTAATGCTTCTGTCTATTATCCTTATTTTCACCCCAACAGGGTGACTCGGGCGGGCCTCTATTTTGTCAATACGGCAAAAAATGGGTTCAGTGCGGAATCACATCTTACGGGCCTAAGGTGTGCAACTTGGAGGGAACCAATGGTGTCTACACGAACCTGTCCAAATACACCGCCTGGGTCAAAACCGTACTTGCGTCATAAGTGAGGCCGCCCGTCTCTTGTATTACTTGCCTTACGGATTATTCAAATAAATCAAAGCCACAAAATGCTTTCCATAATCATAAGAATTCTTTATTGAAAACTGTGTCCATTTTTGCGATTTCGACTATTCAACAAGCATGTGTTTTTATTTGGAGGAGGCGGTAAGATAATGGCCCTTTTTGATCCACTAGAAATATCAAAATCGTTGAAAACTTGGAAATATTGGTCTATAACTTGTCGGACATATTCAAACGGCTGGCATCTAGACTATTGTCTTTCTCATCCTTGCACATTTTGAATTTGTGACATTGTCAAATACACAATATGGTTAAAATGTGTGAAAAGACCTTTTAGAACTTCAAATCAAAATCTAAGTAAGAACACGCCCAAGATAAATTCATATGTTTGTAATGTTTATAGTACATTTAATATGAAAATCAGCTTGGGTCCAAGAAAGATAATTTTCGTGACAATTTCTAAACGTTTTGTTTAATTCTTAAATCACCCAGCTCCAGTGGACCGAATGGGCCTTCATCCTACAGTGATCTTTGCTGACAGGTTCCACAGGAAATATTATTCTATCAAAGTGCACTTTTGTGAAACGAGACTTCGGATTCGGAGACCAAGTAATATAAAAACGCCATTGTCACTCGTTCTGGAATTAAGATGGCTTAGCTTGACTGATTTTGTTGACTAATCACGAACATTTTCCAACTGAATTCAGATACAAGTCATTGACACGTAACTGCCTTGTTCGTGACACTAGTTGACGGCAATGGGCTAATCGGAAATGAGATGATAGGAAAACGAAAACTCTACTTTTCAACAACTCATTTCTTGACTAGTCTCCCCTGTCCTCCCTATTATTATCAGCATCAATACGCACAGAGCACACTGAGGTCACACGCCGATCTATTCCCCGACCTCTTCAACGGATATGTGATTGGCACAAACACGCCCACAAAGGACGCAGACAAGACGTCGACGGAGAGGGTAGTAGTGGTAGCAGTAGTAGTAGTAGTAGTAGTAGTAGTAGTAGTAGTAGTAGTAGTATGAGTAGTAATAGTAGTAGAAGTAGTAGTAGTATGAGTAGTAGTAGTAGTAGTAGTAGTTGTATCAGGCTCGCTGACGTGATTGATGCATGCCATCGTATCCCAATTGTGTGGATCGATGCTCATGATGTCAATCACTGGATTACCTGGTCCAGACACGATTACAGACCGCCGTCATTTAGCTTGAATAGTGCTCCGTGTAGCGTTAACAAGAAACAAACACAAAGTAACAGCACGTAGTAGTAGTAGTAGTAGTAGTAGTAGTAGTAGTAGTAGTAGTAGTATTCGGGGGCTCTTCTACATACCAATATGTTGTTCATTGCCTGTCAAAAATGGTGCAAGACTCTTGGCAATGAATGCTCCTGCGCACGTCCAGGCTGACGGTAATGCAGTTGAGGCACACCAAAGATAATTGGAAGTCGATAATCAAAACAGAGACTTTAGCAAGTCTAGCCGTATCGGTGCCAGAGAAATTTCTATTACAATGGACATCAATACAGATAGAAGAACAAAGGGTTTCATCTTGCCGGAATGGTCTAGGGATGGACAGTGTAAACCATTCGGGTTCGAACACGGACTCATATATCCACATCACGCTCTGGCACCGGTAGATTTAAGACAGAGATGAAGATACATGGCGTGTTGAGTACAGAACCTCCGCAATGTACAGCCTACGTGTACATACGTGACACACCTACTGGTAAGGCGATGCATGATCAAGCTATTATCCATTACATTCACACTAACACGAACGCTACCCATTGCTGTATACAAGGAAACTGTCAGCACACTTAAGGTAAAAGCGGACAGTGTTGTATCATGTTTCTTATCCTTCTTAAGAAACTTAACATATGAACGCACAGGTTTACACGGAGTAAGAAGTCAGTGTTGTCTAGGATGACACAATGTGCTGTGAAGAGTTGCGTCCCTTAGTTTTAACATCTGCTGGTTCGAATCCAAATCTATTCTGCTTATGATCGATGTTTGTCAGCACCAATACCATGATCGTACGTTTGCTACCATTGTCACGCTGTTATGACAGACATGATGTACTAAATATAAGTGTTCTTTAAGACCAACTGACCACTTCAAACTGATTTCAAACTGTACCAACCATGTTAGTGTTTAGGTGTTGTTCCAGCTGTATGGACATAACATGGCGACAACGTGAAAACATACACAACAATCTGTACCCCTTAAACACGCTGTGCACGAATACAAACTGACTATTGTTTACTTCATGTGTCGGTGTTTGTCCCCAAATTTGCACAATGTGGGTTTGTTTTTATTGAGTGACGTAAAGCTCACGTCGTATATAGTCACGGTCACACCTCAAAGTAGCTAATTCAATATGGCGGTGTGCGGTGCAGTCATCGCGTTGGTGCTGGCGGTCATTTCACCGAGTCATCAAGTTGGCATCATCATTCCCAACACAACCCCCTCACAACCTTCGGAAACGTTTGATGATGTTGGTGCTGTCAGCGATGTCGAAGGCTACACCCGGAACGCAGATCGTGATTTGCATTACTGCAAAATAAGGAGCTTCTACTACAGAGATTTCAGATATGAAGATTGCATGTGAGTAGATATATAAAACATATGTCCAACTCATGTGCGTGAGAATAACGTCTTTAAGATCAATATATATCATTAAGGCCTGTTTTGTTAAGAAATGTAACACTTTTTACAAGATACGTGTTTTTTGTGCTACATATAGACTGTTGACAGATCGACAGATCGACAAGCTACGCACTTCTTGAGTAATAACACAGATTTCAGCTGTAATAAAATAACCTAAAACCCACACATTCTTAAGCAAGTAATAAAATAACCTAAAAACAGACACATTCTTCAGCTGTAATAAAATAACCTACAAAAACACACAAACGTGAGCAGTAATAAAATAACCTAAAAACACACACATTCTTCAGCAGTAATAAAATAACCTAAAAACACACACACACTTCAGCTGTAATAAAATAACCTAAAAACATACACATTCTTCATCAGTAATATAATAACCTAAAAACACACACACTCTTCAGCAGTAATATAATAACATAAAAACACACACACTCTTTAGCTGTAATAAAATAACCTAAAAACATTCACATAATTCAGCAGTAATATAATAACCTAAAAACACACACACTCTTCATCAGTAATAAAATAACCTAAAACACACACACTCTTCAGCTGTAATAAAATAACCTAAAAACATACACATAATTCAGCAGTAATATAATAACCTAAAAACACACACACTCTTTAGCTGTAATAAAATAACCTAAAAACATACACATAATTCAGCAGTAATAAAATAACCTAAAAACACACACATTCTTCATCAGTAATAAAATAACCTAAAACATACACACTCTTCAGCTGTAATAAAATAACCTAAAAACATACACAATTCAGCAGTAATATAATAACCTAAAAACACACACATTCTTCAGCAGTAATATAATAACCTAAAAACACGCACACTCTTTAGCTGTAATAAAATAACCTAAAACATACACATAATTCAGCAGTAATAAAATAACCTAAAAACACACACATTCTTCATCAGTAATGAAATAACCTAAAAATACACATTCTTCAGCAGTGATAAAAAAAACAAAAAACACACACATTATTCAGCAGTAATATAATAACCTAAAAACATACACATTATTCAGCAGTAACAAAATAACCCACAAAAACACACACATTCTTCAGCAGTAATATAATAACCTAAAAATACACACACATTCTTCAGTTGTAATAAACTCACCTAAAAAACCACACATTCTTCAACAGTAATCAAATAACCTACCAAAGCACACACATTCGTCAGCAGTAATATCACAACTTAAAAACGCACACATTCTTCAGCAGTAATATAATAACCTACAAAAACGCACACACATTCTTCAGCAGTAATAAAATAGCCTACAAAAACACACCGACATCAGCAGTAATAACATTACTTGAATTGAAAAAAAGGCTTCAGCAATAATTAAATAACCTTCATAAAACAGACTTCAGCAGCAATAACATAATCTGCATAAAACAGACTTCAGCAGTAATAACATAATCTGCATAAACACACAGACCTCACCAGTAATAAGATACCCTCCATAAGACAAACATACATGAGTTATAAAAAAACATAACCTTAAAAAACTCACAGACTTCAGCATAAAACAGACTTCAGCAGTAATAACATAATCTGCATAAACACACAGACCTCACCAGTAATAAGATACCCTCCATAAGACAAACATACATGAGTAATAAAAAACATAACATTAAAAAACTCACAGACTTCAGCAGTAAAAAACATAACATTAAAACACGCACACTTCAATAGTAATAACATAACCTTAAAAAACACACAGACTTCAGCAGTAAGAATCATACCCTTCGTAAACACACAGCGATCAGTCTAAATCTTTCATGAACTTTCAGTGCCGAAGTTGTGGGGAAGAAGATACTGACGAGTTTCAACTCTCTCCCCACTGCAACCATTGAGTCTGTGTACGCCAACTCCCTGTCTGATGAAGAGGACACGAGCACGGCGCTGTCCTACCTCGACAGGGTGTATTACGCCATGCTGAAACGTCGGTACGGCACCGCAGTCGACGACCTGGACGACGTTCTCAGGACATATTTCAGCACAAGGGTGACGAAATACACCGCCAGGTTTCTCACTGGAGGAAAAACATTCCAGCAGGTAGAGGCAGAAATTCTGGCGGAAGAGAGGGCTCGGCTCAACGTCGGCAACAACGCTGCGGCAGCGTTCTGGAACGGGGTCAACACGCTTCGAGGATACCGACGACCTATTATCCGATATGGTGTTCAGTGCTACTCGGGATACTGTATGTCAACTTTCTGGGGGGAAATTTTAATTTAGAAAACTATTTTTAATTCCCTTAACAATAACTAAAGCTAAACATTATGGAAACAAGAAATGGTTATTCGATGGTCATGTACTAGTTTCGGGTAACATGGGCGACATTGAATACATCATATTGATGAGTATCTCATTACAGGCGACTGTTTTCAACTTAGTAGCGTTTGTATGTTTATTTCAAATCCAATGTTCAATTTGTGTTTGTTGTTTAACACCGCACTCAGCAATATCCCAGCTGAATGACGGCGGTCTGTAGACAATCGAATCTGGACCAGACAATCCAGTGATTGGCATCATGAGCATCGATCCACACAATTGGGATACGATGACGTGCACAGTCAAGTCAGCGAGCCTGACCATCCGATCCCGTTAGTCGCCTCTTACGACAAGCATAGTCGCCTTTTACGTCAAGCATGGGTTGATGATGACCTATTCTACCCTGGATCTTCACGGGTCCAAATTTCAAGTGTTTACTTTCTTTCGCCCGTTCGTTTTGCTGTTAAAGACTACAGTATTCATTTGTTTTAGATTGTGTAAGATAAAGAAAGTGTAGTTTGGCAAAATTTACGAATATGTTTGTTTTAACTGTGCTTCGGATGCTGGTTGAAATGTAAAGTTGATTTAGCCTGGGCCAGTAGCAGCCATTGTGACCACAGACATCCAATCCCCATCTGTGCCCTTCTTCCGACAAACATTATATGTCAGTTGTGGACAGATTTGTATCTAATTACAGTTGAGGACCCCATGGACACAACCAACAGTAAACTAATAATTGATCACAATACATTGTATTTCAGTTTATGGCCGTATTGGCTACTATGGAAGACGTCGGTTCTGTCGAATGTTGGGGCGCCTGGCTCGGGGGATGTACGCCCGCCGAGGATACAGCCGCCTGCTTGCCATCCTGGGATATGCTTGCCCCAACATCATCAACTTCCTCAGTCAGGTCACACCAGTTAGGCCAACCCCACGGCCAACACCAGTACCGACTGCAGCTACGACAACCACAACAACCACAACGACCACGACTACGACCACGACCACCACGCCCGCACTAAAATGCACGTCATTAACAAAACATTTCGTTTTCAGTGCTATATTTTAGGAGGCAGCACTATCACAGACCCGTGAAGATTCCGGGGTAGAATAGGTCTTCAGCAACCCATACTTGCCGTAAAAGGCGACTATGCTTGTCGTAAAAGGCGACTAACGGGATCGGGTGGTCAGGCTCACTGACTTGGTTGATACATGTCATCGATCCCAATACAAGACTCGGATATTTTACAGACCGCTGTCATTTAGCTGGAATATTGCTGAGTGCGGCGTTAAACAACAAACAAACCAACAAACAAACACTATCACATATTCAGAAATACATCACTGATTCTTAAACCTAAAACTGAAAATTGCTTTATTACATATCAAATCATATATACTTATATGGAGAAGATGTAAGTTAAGAATATATGTTTCCAATGTGTACGAATTAATGACTAAACTAACAATCAGTCACGTGTTACCACAGAGTTACTTTATTCTTATCACGATACGCTGCATGGATTTCCAAAACTTACACGCTAATCCTGTACGAGAAAAATGGTGCATCTCGCGTCATGGATCTAAGACATCACATGTGATGCGTTCATGAGCTTGGGTTCACACAATATACCAGTATGTTCGTTTGTACATCTAATATCTCTTGAATATGAGTAATTCTTCATATATTAACCAACATATATGACATTCGTGTTTCTTTTGTCGTTGAGTATAGACTCATCGGTGTGTAATTGTATCTCTTGTTTCCTGAAGCTTGCGGCACGGTCCTGGATCCCGCTGTCTCGACACAAATACGAAACACGCTGGTGTCCCTCCGCGTGGTCAATGGGGCTTCGGCCAACGTGGGAGAGTATCCCTTCACCACCACCCTCCTCATCAACGGTCAGTTTGCATGCGGCGCCACCATCATCGACTCAACTCACATAATGACCGCTGCCCACTGTACAGCGTAAGTCCGTCAACAAGCTGTTTCAGGCCATCAAGAAGGACTGGTTTTGAAACCTGATCTCGTGTTAACACGTACACAGAGGGATTGGGGCAAACAAAGCGCGAGAAATGTCAAATGTAGGGCATTGTTTTGTTGTGAGCAACGTTGGCGATGTTGACGTGTTTGCTACAACGAGCAATCCCTGTGTGAAATGTAACACGGGTTCAGATTAGAATACAGTAAAGTACGGTTATAACGAACTCAAAGGGACTACTAATTTTAGTTCGTTATAACCGAAGTTCGTTATAAGCATATATACAGCATAACTACAGCAAATAGTCGGGACCAAAAAAGTAAGTTTGTTATATCCGTCAGTTCGCTATAAGCGTGTTCATTATAACCGTAGTTTACTGTACTATCTATACATTTCTCCACCGTGAAACCTTAACACAAATCTACAATGAGTCTGACTCACTTGTTCAGTCGACCCGTGAAGATTAGAATACATGGGTAGGTTTTCAGCAACCCATGCTTGCCGTAAAAGGCGTTTATGCTTGTGGTATGAGGCGACTGACGGGATCGGGTGGTCAGGTTCGCTGATTTGGTTGATGCCTGTCATTGCATCCCAATTGCTTGGATCAATGCTTATGATATCAATCACTGGATTGTCTGGTCCAGACTCGATTATTTACAGACCGTTGTACAAACAGTTGTAAATAAATGTTCTTCATGATTCTCTGTCATGGCGTAGTGGACAGACTGCCTCCTCACTCTCAGTGGGCGTGGCTGAATTTGACCGGACCAAAGCTGACGGAGAGCAGGTCATCCAGGTGACGGCCATCACTGACCACCCTAACTACGACTCAGTTAAAACAAGTGAGTATCACCAACAAACCAACTGATCTACTGATGGCGATCTGATTTAGGGTGGCATTTGTGGTATTTGGTATTCCGGGGTGGAGTTGAGTAGAAATGGAGTTTAGCGCCGCCCAGTCCTTCTTTTAGCCCCTTAATGCCTAGCGCCCGACAGGGTAACAACAAGTACCATCTTTCAACGTCTTTTGGTATGACGCTACCTTCTCAATTTTCCTTCAAAATAATATTTACATCCAAAGGTCCATAAGTTTAATATTCTGTTGTCTACAACTAACACAAAGCTCATTATTAATATCGCTAAATATCTGTATCACAGTAAAGAAGAAAGATCACGTATTTTATCATTGTGACTGTTGCCATAAATATGTCATACATTTTGTACAAAGGGCCTGTGGCCTGTGTAGTACTGAATAAAGAATTCATTAACAGCATCTGTCCATGTACATTTCAGTCAATGACATCTCGATACTGACCCTGGAGACGCCAATTGACGGCATAGATAATGCAGAACCTGTGTGTCTCCCTACTGGCACTCAGTGCAACAATCTCGCCAACCGGAAGTGCACCGTCACCGGATGGGGCGCAACCGCCGTAACCAATGGTCGCCCAGGTACGGATAAACAGCTATTGGTAGTCGGAATAACGAAAAGAAATGTGCTTTCTTAGAACATCTTGGTGAAAGTCATATTCGCATTTCAAATCCGGTTTATGATGGAACATCCCTATCAAAAGCTTGTTAGTATTGTATATGTTTCAGTGGCGTTCCCGAACACACTACAGGAGGCCGTAGTCGACACTTACGATGCCGCGAGGTGCCCTACAAACTCCCCCGCCCCCTCTGACGTCAACACCCAGATCTGTGCAGTCGGCAACACGGACACCTGTAACGTAAGATGGCGCGAACTGATACACACTGTGATATAACCCATACTTACATTAATTGTCACATAATAACGCTGACACGTCTTCGAGACATATATTTCCTTACTATTTTGTTGTTTTTATAATGTATCTTTCTGGTGACGCTTTGTATAGTTTTCATGTATGTCATTATTGACATATCTGTACAGAGTTACCTTAGCCGTGCCAGAGCTGACGATATTAACTCTTGTTTCAACAACGCTATATCCGTGCTCGTGGTGTAACCAAATTGATAAACGACTACGACTTTAGCCACTTTGGTATTTCCAAATTAAGACAGGCATTGATAAATGTGAAATAGTGTCCCAAGCGACGTTAAGCCCCTAACTCAGCTCTATGACTTTGAGGTGAGGTGAGGTAAAATGGAGTTCAACGTAGCGTTTAAGATTATTATGCACGTGTGTGTGGCTACCTTTACTAGTCTGTGCTAACGCCAGTATAATAGCACTTGTCCACTGAGATGATATGCCGCAGTTTATCATTGAGACCCTATTCAGACACAGTATACAGACTCCGAGCCCACCAATCCCTGTTTTAGCCCCTTAAAGCCGAGCGCCAGGCAGGGTAATGACAAGTACCATATTTCAACGTCTTTTGGTTTGACACCTCAGGGGATCGAAACTCGAGCTGCCGTCTCTGGGCAGCTCTATCCGCTAGACCACGGGGGCCGTTCTATGACCGGTGACATACTACAGTTATAACCGTCGAGGCGTACCATTGTCTTATTAAACGTTATTTTTTAGAGGTAATATTGTGGTGAGTTGTTCCCCACAGATGTACCTGCGCAACGATGGTACATTTTATTAGCATCCTTAAAGACTTTGAAAGGCATTTAGAAGCGATACACAGAAGGAAGAGAATATATGGATGTCAACTTCTTTATTATAACACAACGTTTCGGAGTATATGCTTACTCCTTCATCACCTGATATCCATAAATCGACTCGTGACGATCCGGGTAAGAATAGGTCTTCAGCAATCCATGCTTGCCGTAAAAGGCGACTATGCTTGTCGTAAAAGGCGACTAACGGGATCGGGTGGTCAGGCTCGCTGACTTGGTTGATTCATGTCATCTATCCCAATTGCGTGGATCGATGCTCATGATATTAATCACTGGATTGTCTGGTCCAGACTCGATTATTTACAGATCGCCGTCGCATAGCTGGAATATTGCTGAGTGAGGCGTTAAACAACAAACCAACAACCAACCATAAATTATCTTGCTTTTATCCTTAAAGAGGCTGTACAAAATGTTGATATCTCATATAAGAAATAAACGACTTGTGTTCTTTCTTATCGTACAATAAAACAGTGCAGGGGAAAAAACCCACTCGGGCCTGCACCCTTCATGGTTTATTATCCCTGCAGTGTTTTATTGTTCGATAACCTCCCACTCGTCGTTTATTTCTCAAATAATATTTCTTTAATAAGAAGTCACCATTAGAGATTCATGTTGTCTCAGTCTATCCACTTCTAATCACGACTGACTGATGCACACTTTTGTCACTTCATCGTTCCCAGGGTGACTCCGGCGGGCCGCTTGTGTGCCAGTATGATGGGGCGTGGGTTCAGTGTGGTATTACGTCCTATGGACCTGCGAACTGTAACTTGTCTGGGACTAACGGCATCTACACTGACGTCTCCGCCTACACCGACTGGATCAACGCCGTCATCAACAACTAGATCTTTGTCAGATATGCAGGAAATAAAACTAGATTGATAAAAGCCATGTAGTGCAGGTGTTCTTTACGACGTCCCTTTTCAGCGACTGAGTTGATTACGCGGCTTTTGACAATATCACAGGAAAAGTGGTGAGTTTGATTTCTCGCAAGGATACACAGAATTAATAATTTCGGTGTCTTTCTGTATCAAGAGTATCATAAATAACATTAATTATCAATTATATATATTCGCATTATCATTTATAGATTAAAATTTAAAAATGAAGCAAAGAGGGTTTGGGTGATCCCGGCACAGTAGGTATACGGGCCTATTCCAAAGGATTTTGTATTTATCATTTTCCATGACGCCCTCTACATATTCCGGGTCGTACCCTGGATGGACCTCTATGTCAAAACCACAAGCATGGCGAAGACGGTAATAAAATTGTCGAGCCACCCCACCATGTGTTGGACAGTCTCATTAAATTCATTACATAATCTACATTTCATATTCAAATTTTGATGCAAAATCACACATTGACGGTTTCGAGTGGGAAGTGACTGGTCCTGAGCAGCAAACAGAAAAAGCCTTCTGTTTCACTTTTCAGGCCAGCCGACTTCATCTAAGTGAAGGACACTGCAGGATTGCTGATCTTCTCAACACACTGTACATAAACTTGATGCAGTGGTCGTTCACAAAGCCTCTCTGGGTCTAGGTCGATTTGATATGGCACTTCGCTTGGTTGACACTCATTTCTGTACCGTCCAGCAGTACAGAACCATCAACAAAATCAAAATCACCTTTCTTTGGGAGAAGTATTGTTCGACCCTTGCGGGGCGGTCGGGTAGCCTTGTGGTTACAGCGTTCACTCGTCACGCCGAAGACCCGGGTTCGATTCCCGACATGAGTACAATGTGTGAAGTCCATTTCTGGTGTCCCCCGCCGTGATATTGCTGGAATATTGTTAAAAGTGGCGTAAAACCACACTCACTACTACTACTACTACTACTACTACAGCCACCGACCAATTGGAAATTATTACTACTCTAAAATCATTATGGATGCTGTCGAAGCATATGCCACAAACTGAGATAAAAGAGAAGAGAACCTTGTTGAATGTCTCTCAGAGTGGGTTAGGTCAGTACGAGATGTTGCCATTCGTAGAATGCACAAACTGAAAAAGAGGAATCAGCACTGGAAGAAATCCATTCTGTCCCATCCAGCTGTCAGCCAAAGACAGACTGTCCTAAATGAAACGTTTGTAGTTGTTTCCACCGACTCGGCCTCACATAACATAACAATGCTATGTAAGCATCATAACACTACCGGTTTTACCACAGAATTTGGTACAAGCGACATATCAAACAATGACACATATCAGGCCAGCTAAAACATACTGCATAAAACCTTTTGATAAAGACCTATCATGTCATTAAAACGTTATATGTGACATTGAATGTACCCTTTGTGGATTGATTTACGCTGGAGAGACATAACAGAAATTATCGACACGAGTCAGCCACCATCGATCAGGCATCAAAAGATATGTTTCCAAGTGTGTCTACCAACATTTCAATTCTGAAAATCACTCAATCCTTTGCATGAAAGGTAGGATACTGGAGAAAATACACCATCCCTATAATAACCTTAAATGCAGTCGGACCTTATAGAATGTCCAGAGAAAATCATTGGATTCGACTGTTGTGTACAACAATGCCATATGGATGCAATGACAAAACAAAAGACGTTGGCAGTCTTTCATAACCAACGAACTGCTGATGTCAATGTATTGAGTCTGTTTCCGGCATCCCAAAGACGTCGACGCAGCCATGGTCACAAGAAAGGACGAAGGCCAAATTATGCCATTCATTTGGAAGATTTGTTGCCGCTCCTTCAGGGACCATTCGGACTGCACACAAAAAGAACAATACTATACTATGTGTCACTGAGCCCACAGTATCGACTAGAGAGTATAGTTCTTGATTGCTTTGAAACGTTTGGCCAAACCAGAAACTTACTCCACTAAATCAGACAAAGACCGCAATGGCTTGAATTTGAAATGTGCAAACAAGGTAAGTGATGCCTTAAATCTAAGTAACATTGTCAGAGAAAGGTCAGTTTCTCAAAATGTGCCACAATATTTCAAATTTTAGGAACCCCCAACCATTTCATTTTCCTATGTGAACTCAGCTCATGATATCGATGTTAGTTCCACTACTTGTGGCTGCCAACACGCATCATACTGCTATCAACATGAAGGCCATATAATCACAGGTGGCTTCTCTATTGTTGACAATAACAACCTTCGTCATTTATTCAAATATGGACTAAAATACCGTGAGCAACCTCATAACAATTGGGATCACAATTTTAACATTATTATGGATGCTGTCGAAAAATGGGACAAAAGAGAAGAGGTACCTGTTGGATGTCTTTCGGGGTGGGTTAAGTCAGTGTGTGATGTTGTCATTGGTAGAATACACAAACGTTAACGAAATTGGAAAAAACCCATTCTGTCCCAGCCAACTGTCAACCTACAGTCTGGCTGCCCTACATGAAAAGTTTGTTGTTGTTCACACTGACAAGGCCTCAAATAACATAGCCATTATATGTCAGCATCACTACATTAACTGTTTGATAAAAGAACTTGGTATAAATAACATATCAAATAAAGCCACATATAGGCCAGTGTGTTAACTGAGAAAGACATCTGCCCAAACCATGCATCGGTAGTATCAACTTTTGACTTGACACTAAAACCTGAAGACATGTCCATTCCTCTTTTGTACAGGATTCCAAAGCTCCATAAAAATCCGTACAAAGAGAAATATATTGCTTGGTCCAGCAAATGTACCACCAAATCCCAATCTCAAAGATATACTATAATGCTGAATACAAACAAGGAATGGGCTTCTTTATAGTCATAGAAAGTATTTGAGACGCAGTGGAATTATTACCATGTGGATTCTCAACAAAACAAATGATTTGTTTGCATTTTCAGAAAAGAACCGAGGTCAACATTCGTCCATGCCTTACAGCAACTGTTCCACGTGAAACACCCATTCCTTGATTCATGGGGCTTTCATTACGTGGTGACCATTGATATATTACTTGCCGTTTATTTCGTTTCAAAATTTCACTGTGGTGTGCGAATAAGCAGACAATTACACACGCGTAAACCAATTGAGTTCAACAGAATAATACTTCAAACACGTTAAAAGTATTCGTTTACTACCATACAGCTGCCTACCTTAATAATGTTGGGGTTCGTTCCACAAAGTAATAGCAGCGCTGAGGTGATCGTAACTCCCATATGTTAACGTAGGCTTACAACTGACGTTGCGCTGCGATCGCTTTGTGGAACGGGGACCTGCAACAAAAAGTTCACAATACCCTGTGACATAATTTGTGAACTTTTTTACAAGACACACCGGAGAAACAATGCCATGTGACGTCAAACTAGCAACAGGGTTGCTAGGGTCATCGACTGCGCATTTTCTCAGTGATCTATCATCTCAACACGCAACGTACACAAGCCCTAGCCCTAGCCCTAATTATGTAATGCCAGATTATTGTTATTAAACAATGGTATCTTCAAAGGGCGAGTACTAAAGTTACATATCTATCTTCAGAAGTTCAGGATAATTTTTTAAAAATTGAAATCAGATGTTTACTGAAAAAACAATGTGTGAAATGCTGGACTTCCTCAAAGATGAACAGAGATGTCATGAAATGGGAAAGGGTTTTGTCGCTTTTAATTAAATATGTTTTTCTTAAAGATCACAATATGATAAATACGAGTGTTGTATGTTTCGGCCATGTCGCTGTGATATAATGGCTGATGTGAACTCAACATTTTGCGTTATTTGTAATGCCAGGTCGATTCATCACATATGCTCGAAAATACCTCCATGTTCCATATACGCAGGTATTCTAATATCTCAGGACATGTAATGTACACAGGATAGCAATACAAATGAAGGAACGGTTTGCAAACAGTAGGCCACTTTGTTGATCATTAGTCTTTTGTTTGGCACATCTCCGTGACATAGTGACAGAATGGCCATCTGGTTTTTTTCTCATATAAACACATCAATACTACGAAACATATGAATGTGTATTATATGTTTAGTTTACCTATCTAACAAAGAAATATTCTTCATTTATTTTGCCACAGATGCAAATAGTTTGTCTAGCAGGACATCTGGATTGCCCAACATTTGGAGAAAAAGTGTTTATTTGTGGAATAGTATGTACACCTCTGAGAGATGTCATCCTGATTGCGGACCGGTGCGGTTGTCTTTGGTTAAAGCGTTCGATTCTCCACAAGGGTACATTATGTGGGGCTCATTTCTGGTGTCCCCCGCCGTAATATTGCTGGAATATTGCTAAAAGCGGCGTAAAAACTAAACTACTCACTCAATCACTCATTCAGCCTGATTGTCTCAAATATCAATCCATTTGTATTGATTATCTCGTCATTTACTTCAAAGAATGTACATATTAATTTTGCTGTGTGCACACTCTTTCCCATATTACAGTTACATGACAGCGTCCTGTAAATAATGGTGTTTGGACTTGTACAACCCAGTGATCGATACTATGAGCACCGATCTTCGCCATCGGGGTAGGATGACATGAAATGAACCGACCTTGACCACCCGATCCATTTAAACGCCTCTTCCTACCAGAACCTCACCCAACTCTGAATCTAATCGAACCGGAGACTGCAAATTGTGTTGTAAAACGATCAAATTTCTTAAACGTTTTTTCTACACTTTTAAGAAGTAGAATCTCTGCACTTGTGCACATCAGACTTAATTCAAATTAACATATCCTATAAAGTGTCAACAAAATCAGTAAATGTGCTATCGTGCAACTGGAATTGCCTGTCCATCACTTGATTATCTGGTTTGTTAGCTTGCCCCATCTCATGGCGTCGTCTTAACATGTACGTTCTCTAAGCACATTGTGTTAGAGGGTGGTGCTACCAGTTGGGCAGGACATGCCTAATCTTTTCGCAAACACTTGCTGTCATCTCTGATTCGTCGCTAATTTCATTTTACCCCCGATGTAATCAGTTACTACGGATAATCGAGTTTGATTATTCTCTGTTTGTTGTTGTTTTAAGCCGCACTCAGCAATATTCCCGCTATATGACGGCGGTCTGTAAATAATCGAGTCTGGACCAGACAATCCAGTAATTGATGTGATGAGCATCAATCCACACAATTGGGATACGATGACATGCATCAACCAAGTCAGCGAGCTTGACCACCCGATCCCGTTAGTCGCCTCTTACGACAAGCAGAGACGCCTTTTAAGCCAAGCATGGGTTTCTGAAGACCTATTCTACCCCGGATCTTCACGGGTCGATGATTGTCTGGCATCGACGTTATATATCATATACAATTAGGGTTTTAGTGGCATGAAGAGGTACATACTGCGACGTAGTGGTATCTTACAGAGATACATACTTCGACATAGAGGTTGTAACGTTGAAAGAATGGGTTATTTCAAAGGAGTTCCAATACATACACAAGAAACCAATGAAGACATCGATGTCCTGCTAATGTTATGCATACATACGACGAATCATAAACTTGATAGTTCGCTAGTACCTACTGACGTCACGGACACCTGTTGGGGGTTGTGGTGGCTACAAAAGGCCGCGGCATTGGGGATCTGAACATCTTCATCATGAAGTCATTGCTGCTGCTGTGTTTGCTGGTTCTGCTGACTGTTGCCCTCGTGGGTGCAAGGCACAGTGGAGGATACAGACGAAAGCCTTATGATCACCACAGACAACCGTAAGAACCACTGTCGATGTGATTTGTTTGGCTTGTTAGTTGTTAAACGCATCATTCAGCAATATTGCCGGTATACATGTATCACGTAAATCGAGCCCGGAACAGACAATGCAGAGATTGATTTTGTGTGCAACACTCCATGCCGTTGGTGAACGATGACACGTTGCTAACAAGTCTCTTTTGGTCGCCTATTATGAACAGCATATGATGATAGGGGCCTATTCTAACCCGGAATACTCAGGGGCCGAGGTGATTTTTTAGAGAATATATATGTCATGTTCTTAACGTAATCTTCATATGGTGAAGCGTACACCGGTGTCACAATCGTCTAAAGTACCGATATTGCTGTTCCAAGTTACCTTCCTGAGACATGGCAAGATCTAATGATCGTGAATTGTTATCCTTGGGTTAGCCATACAGTTGCTCATGGGTTTCCCCTTAGAATTAAACGTCTACGTCTACATCTACGTCTACGTCTACATCAATATCCTACCACGGTTTGTTGACACGCTGTGACAAAGTGAAATATTGTCCACATTGGCTTTAACTCATACATTAGAGGAATATCTCGGAATTTTTATTTTTATGATATCCCTAATATTCTCAACAGTGACGATATAGATGGTCACAGTTTATAAGAAGTCAGCAATGTACAGGTTAGCGTTTATGAATTCGATGTGTCAATGCATGGTCGAGGAGATAAATTCAAGAACATTTTGTTTGCAGCAGGCATGTATATCCCAAATGCATTTTTATTCACAAGCTCCTATTATCATGGGTACGAAAACAATGACGACGATGACTACGATGATGATGACGGCAACGACGTAGAGTATTACTACTACTATCACCACAGACCAGAACCCCAGCCCCCAAGCTTCCCGACTCATCTCTACAACCAGATTCCTGACGACGTCCTCGGGGACGCTCTCTGCGTCATGTTGGACACCAGGTTTGCAGTCCGGCTTCAGGCCGTTGAGCACATCTATGACCGGTATGGGGCAAGTCAGGGTTACGCAATCGCTGAGGTTTTACAACGGTTAATGCAGTCCGACTTCCTGGATCGTCTTGGCGATCTACGAAATCATGGTAAAAATCTTTCTCTCAGTCTTTTACATATTTTCAATTTCTCATCTTGCATAATTTTGTTGAAGTTTTAATCTGCTAATCTGCTAATGAAATGTCTACAAAGACAATGTGAAGACTACTAGTGGTAGTAGCAGTGACAGTTGTAGTGGTAATGGAAGTGGTAGTAGTAGAAGTAGTAGTTGGTGTAGTAGCAACTAAAGTAGTAGTAGTAGTAGTAGTAGTAGTAGTAGTAGTAGTAGTAGTAGTAGTAGTAGTAGTAGTAGTAGTAGTAGTTGTTGTTGTGTTGTTGTTGTTGTTGGTGGTGGTGTTGGTGGTGGTGTAGTAGTAACTAAAGTAGACGTAGAAGTAGTAGTATTAGTAGTAGTTGTTGTTGGTGTAGTAGTAGTAGTAGTAGTAGTAGTAGTAGTAGTAGTAGTAGTAACTAAGAGAAAGTAGAAGTACACGTAGTAGTAGTTGAAGCAGTAGTAGTAGACACGCCATGATATAACTGGAATACTGTTAAAAGCGGCGTTAAACCCAACACTTTCACTAACTCGCTCACTCAGTAGTAGTAGTAGTAGTAGTAGTAGTAGTAGTAGTAGCTGTAGCCGGAGTCCTAGTAGCAGTAGTGGTTATCGAGTAGTAGTAGCAGCACAACCAGTAGAAGTAACAAAAGAAGTAGCAGAACCATAATCATCGTCATCATCATCATTACTATGAATACAGTTTTCAGTGGCATGTCCACTGCTGGAAAGGAGAAGATGTGCAATCTGCTTCAACACATGCCTGACAACTACAACGTCTGTGGCTTCCAAACCCTCGTCAGCATCTTGGCTGACCAGTGCGACACCACACCTCAGGTCACCCAGACACCCTTGCCCACTACACCCACGACAGCTACACCAACTACAGCGAAAGCAACTACAGCGGCACCAACTACAGCGACAGCAACTACAGCGAAAGCAACTACAGCTGCACCCACGACAGCTGAACCATCTACAGCAAAAGTAACAACAACTACCACAACAACTGCACCTACTCTCAGTAAGTGGAAGAATGTGTTTTGCAAGATTGTATTTTTTTACTGGAACAGACAAATCATCCGTTGACTAGAACACAGACCTATGGTTATATGTGTTCCTAGATCGGTTCTTTTGGCCATGATACACTCAATCCCATCAGGCTGGTGTAGTCATGTAACATTACCTTCACAGTTAAAGTGCTTTCAAAGTTTGACAAAGTATATAGACTTGACAATGTTAATCATTTTCCAGATTGCAACGATATAACTTCTATCCGAAGTGTTGCCATAACAACAAGAATTGTTGGAGGCTTCGCAGCACAGCAGGGTGCCTTCGACTCCTACGCCTCCCTCAACATCGGAGGTAGCGCTAACCCCGTGTGTGGAGCTACAATCATCGATTCCTGCACTATTCTGACAGCTGCCCATTGCGTTAAGTAAGTACATCAACCTTATACTGCCCATTGTTTTCAGTACGTTCACCCACGTTCTACTGCCCATTGTGTTCAGTACGTACATCCACGTTCTACAGCCCATTGTCTTCAGTAGGTACACCCACGTTCTACTGCCCATTGTGTTCAGTACGTACACCCACGTTCTACAGCCCATTGTGTTCAGTACGTACACCCACGTTCTACTGCCCATTGTGTTCAGTACGTACACCCACGTTCTACTGCCCATTGTGTTAAGTACGTACACCCACGTTCTACAGCCCATTGTGTTCAGTACGTACACCCACGTTCTACTGCCCATTGTGTTCAGTACGTACACCCACGTTCTACTGCCCATTGTGTTCAGTACGTACACCCACGTTCTACTGCCCATTGTGTTCAGTACGTACACCCACGTTCTACTGCCTATTGTGTTAAGTACGTACACCCACGTTCTACCGCCCATTGTGTTCAGTACGTACACCCACGCCACTCCGTACATTCACATTCTACTGCTCATTCTGTACATTCACATTCTACTGCTCATTCTGTACATTTGATGTATGACGATGTCGAGATTTGTAAGAACGTAGTGATTATGGTATCAACCGTTTTCGGCTGGTCATACTTGGGTCAAATGTTTGTTGATATAATGAGTAGCGTCATCATAACACTCATGTATCTCATGCCATCGGGGTAGAATGACAACGAGGGGTCTGAAATCATAGAAAAGGTTCTATTCTGACGCGGCCCTCCAAGAGTGACGTGGGCTTTATAAAGTAAGGCAATGGTCTGTTTGTGGCCACCTGTGGTCATGCAGGGGTTAACCCTGCTTAATAGATGCCCTTCGGTGTACAGTGCCTACGTGGGCTTATGCCTGGCCACCGTGAAGATCCGCGGTAGAATAGGTCTTCAGCAACCCATGTTTGACGTAAAAAGCGACTATGCTTGACATAAGAGGTGACTAACGGGATTGGGTGGTCAGGCTCGCTGACTTGATTGATGCATGTGATCGTATCCCAATTGTGTGGATTGGTGTTCATGTTGTCAATCACTGGATTGTCTGGCCCAGACTCGATTATTTACAGGCCGCCGCCATGTAGCTGGAATATTGCGGCGTTCAAAACAAACAAATTACACTTGGCAAACATCAGCTGTTGCTCTAAAATGATATTTGGCTCCTGCTTGTGGTGCACGGAGTTGAGCAAGCCTCGTGTCTTTTGGTTAATGGCAACTAAGATTTTTCAGTTTGCTTACAGGTTAAAATTTCCATCTTTGTAAAGGAAACACTGTCCTAACCCAATTTGTACCTTTCTTGTCTAGTGACCAAACTGCTGATCAAATCAAAGTCAATGTCGGCGACCACACAACCATAACATCAACCACGCAGCTCAACGTCAACAGCGTCACGGTCCATGAGAACTACAACACTCAAACTACAGGTAAGATTCACGGCCCATGAGAACAACAACAATCAAACTAAAGGTAACAATCACAACCCATGAGAACTACAACACTCAAACAACAGGTAACAATCACGGTCCATGAGAACTACAACACTCAAACTACAGGTAAGATTCACGGTCCATGAGAACTACAACACTCAAACTACAGGTAAGATTCACGGCCCATGAGAACTACAACAATCAAACTACAGGTAACAATTGACGTCCAAACTAGATCTAATTCAAAATCATTTTATATCCAATATTGTCATTATTATTTCGAAAATGCCGTTGAACTCAGATTGTTCATATACGAGCTTGCTTACGTTACAGCCAATGATGTAGCGATCTTGAAGGTCGACCCCATTGACTTCAACGCTATCCCCAACACCGCACCAGCCTGCCTCGCCACCGCCGACTACGCTCTGACAGGACAGGATTGCACTGCAGTTGGAGTTGGAACCACGAGCTATGGTAAGCCAACAATGTCGTTATCATGGTTTTTTATGTGGCCCAGTCGGACTTTGGTCTGAAGAAGGGGGGGGGGGGGGAGGTGGAGGTGGGGGTGGTCAAACCACATTAACCTGATACACCACTGTCACGCTGTTCAAAGCGCCGTCTAGCCAAACTCACTCGTACACTCTCATGAGTCGGATCACTTATGATCATATGGCTTCATCCTATCACAGATGGATAGGTATGCATGCGACATGGCGACAGAGTGGACAGATGAAATTCGTTTTCCAGCCAATATAACGTCGGCCCTGTTCATTGTCGAGTTTCAATAGTAACTGATACTTTTACGCAGCTTCTGTTAGTTTGCAAGTTTTATGATCACGGATGATGTCAAGGATTGGCTTGACATAATGAGTTTTACTTGTGTCCGCTAGGTGGCCAGCAGCCAGATAATTACCTCCTACAACAAGTGTCCGTTCCAACTCAGGACGGCAACACCTGCGCCCAAGACAACAGCATCCTAGTCCAGATGACCGACCCCAACAACCAGATCTGTGCTGGTCAAGCGGGCAAAGACTCCTGCCAGGTCAGTATAGACGGCGCTGACACTCGCAACATAAATGAGGCTTGAAGCAGAGGGTTCCTATGATTATGTAAAGAGTCTTGTCGTTTCTATTAAGGACTATGTGACTAGTGTTAGCCGTGGTGTAAACAGTATGCAACCCGTACTAATGTTGTAGATGAAGGGTGCAAAAGGTGTAGTTCTTTCTTTGGTTTTATGAAGGTCGTATACTAGTACATACGGTGAGTCCACAAGATCATGGGTACTTCCTTAACCAATACAATGCTGTATATGGATAACTGGACGCAGTTAAAAAACTTTTGAGTGATTTCAGAGGCGAATGTGACTGTATGGTCGATTATCCATGTGGCCTGCATGGGGGATATATGACTGTCTACGTGGGGAATATGTAAGGTTGGTTGTGTTACGTGTTTACCGGGGTATATATAAAGGTGACTGTGATTGCCTAGGGATGTATAAAGGTGACTGTGACTGCCTGAGTATGTATAAAGGTGACCGTGTTTGCCTGGGTATATATAAAGGTGACTGTGTTTGCCTGGGTATATATATAGGTGACCGTATTTGCTTGAGTATGTAAAAAGGTGACTGTGACTGCCTGGGTATATATAAAGGTGACCGTGTTTACCGGGGCATATATAAAGTTGACTGTGATTGCCTGGATATAAATAAACCTGATTGTGTTTGCCTGGGTATATATATAAATTTAGTGATTGTCTGGGTATATATAAAGGTGACCGTAATTACCTGGTTATATATAAAGGTGGCTGTGATTGCCTGGGTATATATAAAGGTGACTGTGTTTGCCTGGGTATGTATATAAATGATTGTGATTGTCTTGGTATATATAAAGTTGAAGTAACTGTGATTGGCTGGGTATATATAAAGGTGACTGTGTTTGCCTGGGTATATATATACATGTAGGTGACCGTATTTGCTTGAGTATGTAAAAAGGTGACTGTGACTGCCTGGGTATATATAAAGGTGACCGTGTTTACCGGGGCATATATAAAGTTGACTGGTATTGCCTGGGTATGTATATAAACTGATTGTGTTTGCCTGGGTATATATATAAATTTTGTGATTGTCTGGGTATATATAAAGGTGACCGTAATTATCTGGTTATATATAAAGGTGGCTGTGATTGCCTGGGTATATATAAAGGTGACTGTTTTTGCCTGGGTATGTACATAAATGATTGTGATTGTCTTGGTATATATAAAGTTGAAGTGACTGTGATTGGCTGGGTATATATAGAGGTGACTGTGTTTGCCTGGGTATATATATAGGTGACCGTATTTCCTTGAGTATGTAAAAAGGTGACTGTGACTGCCTGGGCATATATAAAGGTGACCGTGTTTACCGGGGCATATATAAAGTTGACTGGTATTGCCTGGGTATGTATATAAACTGATTGTGTTTGCCTGGGTATATATATAAATTTTGTGATTGTCTGGGTATATATAAAGGTGACCGTAATTATCTGGTTATATATAAAGGTGGCTGTGATTGCCTGGGTATATATAAAGGTGACTGTTTTTGCCAGGGTATGTATATAAATGATTGTGATTGTCTTGGTATATATAAAGTTGAAGTGACTGTGATTGGCTGGGTATATATAGAGGTGAATGTGATTGCCTGGGTATGTATAAAGGTGACTGTGACTGCCTGGGTATATATATAGGTGACTGTGTTTGCCTGGGTATGTAGAAAGGTGACTATGACTGCCTGGGTATGTATAAAGGTCATTGCCTGGATAGATAGATATATATTATATAAAGGAGGTGTTTTGTGTGTCTTGTTATTGGCACTTCATAAAAGATAAATGTTGGTGATGTCATGGACAATAATGTGTGGTTCTTCTTCAGGGGGATTCTGGTGGTCCTCTGTACTGCCAGCAGAACGGTCAACAAGTTCTGACCGGTGTTGTGTCCTATGGTGTTAACTGTGGTCAAGCCGGTTATCCAGGTGTCTACGCCAAGGTGTCCAGCTATGCTGACTGGATCGCTGCTCGTTCTGGCTGTTAAACTGTGAACGTTGTGTGTAATAAATACTTACAAAATATATTCATCATGTATTTGTCCTTTCATTCTATGTTAAAAGGAATACTGTTGTAAATCCAAACGTCTCACACCGCCGACCGGAACAAGTGTTAGACTTGTTTGAACGGCGTTTCTCATGAAACTATTAACGCATTCACTCGATGGTACAAAATTGAATTTGGCAAGACGACATGACTAAGCGATGTTATTACTCACCTGTAAAGGGAGCCCTGCTTAATAACAACCGTTATTAAACAGTGTTTAATAACATCACGTACGTTCGGGACTATTTTTGGGTATCAGGTCATTCGAACGAGGGGCTTCGGTAGCACTGTCAACTGATACTCTGCAACGTCGAATCTACTCCTGGGGGTGGAGGGGGGGGGGGGGGGGTGTCTTCTTCCGATAGACACTACTATTTTTCACTAGAGACACATGGACACACCACGCATGCATCTCAAAACAGTAGCATTGACATATTTTCCTGGAATAATTCAAATCCGGTGGCAATTAGCAGTACACATTCATTTGATATAGGGTTTTCGGACTCTCACTTTTCATTGTTGTCGAGCAGGCATCATTGGAATATATAGTTTCAGAGCATCACTAATAAAACAATCAACAGAAACACCAAGATAAAGTCAACAATCACGGAAATAAACTCAAGGGTCTGGTCAAGGGGAGATAACCCGAGACTCCTCCCTCAAACCATCTGACCTAGTCAAAGTGAAGGCAAATTGCCTTGCTTGTTTTAAAGTTGGAGATAAGGGCCAATTGGTGAATGTCAAGATTGGCAACATTTACTTCACCTTGCTTGTTGACACAGGTAGTCAGGTGACCTTACTTTCCCAAGCCGCAAGCTGTCAACTCCATTGACATGGTCCTGGAGGCTGATAATGGGAGCTTATTCCAAGCACATGGGATATTCAAAGCACCTGTTCACATTAGTGATGACATGAACCCCACTGTGGAGGAATTCCTGGTTGCAGAGGTTGATAATTCCCATGATTGTGATGGCATTCTCGGTATAGATGTTCTGGGTAGACTGGAGGGTCTGATCGACATCCCTGGGTCAAGGATCCGGTTGATGAGCCGATGAATAACTACTATGAGTTCTGTGTTGGTGCCGCAAAAGTGTGTTATAGTGCCGCAAACGTTGTGCCATGTCAATACACTACATTTCAGAAGTAGTGCCGTGTTTTAATTCCACAAGATACATGTATGTTCAGTCTAACCTGGAGCTATATTAAGCGTGTGCAAAACATTTTGTTTGTGCTCCTCATGTTATATTTAGAAAGCTGTAGCCGGCTACATCCAGTAACAGTGCCAGGCTTTACATGGATATGTTCTTTAAAAACTGTATTTTTTCTGCATGAATACAACACCTATTCCATATTATTCAATAAGAAATTCATAGACAAGAGCATATGTTGGCTCATATGTGTGGCATTCCTCAGACTTAATAATTCATTTGTATCAGTTATCAGTTGTCTTCGGAATTGGGTTGGTTGGTTGGTTTGTTGTTTAACGCCGCACTCAGCAATATTCCAGCTATATGACGGCGGTCTGTAAATAATCGAGTCTGGACCAGACAATCCAGTGATTGATATCATGAGCATCGATCCACGCAATTGGGATCGATGACATGTCTCAACCAAGTCAGCGAGCCTGACCACCCGATCCCGTTAGTCGCCTTTTACGACAAGCATAGTCGCCTTTTACGGCAAGCATGGATTGCTGAAGACCTATTCTACCCCTGAATCTTCACGGGTCCAGAATTTTGGAATAGTGTCTGAGAACGAAATTCGCAGTGGTGACTGAATACACTGATTGTGTATGATTTCTAGATTCACCCCAATTTTGATCCTTGGTTCTTCTGATTCATACAAACTAATACTGTAGACACGAAAACGTCGGGG